TCCGAACGCAGTATACACTCTTTGTTTTCCTTAAAACGTATTATAATCCTAAAATATTATGAATAAATCAGACATAAAAAATTCAAAAATAAAACGAATAATCCTTCCAAACTGAAAAAGAAAATTTCCAGATCAAAATCAACGAAAATCGTAAATTTCATTCCAATTTTCACCCTAATATTGGCACCATCATCTTTCACTCCATATTCAAATATTCAGGGTTGCAGGTTTTCGATTACTAAATTGGATAATAAATCATCTCATTCTATTGGTTCACTAAATAGGAACAATTGAAACTAAACGGATTTATTCGGAGTACGTACTAAGCAAGCTCCTCTTCAAATATTTTTCTGCATTCTTTCATTACTGTACACAGTCACCTAATTTAATATAATTAAAATAGGATTCAATATTAAAAATTCAAAATTCAAAATATTGAAACATAATTAGACGAATTCAAAATTAAACTAGGTTTCAGTACTCCCCGAAACATCAGTAAACGGGTCAGAATTAAGATCCAAACCCGCATTCTGATCAGTTTGTGTTCTCTCGGAGCATTCAGCTTCGTCTTTCGTAACTCCGTCAAAATCTTCCCGTTCAAACGAGGGACTCCAGGCTGCCGCCGCCGGTTCACGGCGGCCGGAGTTGCGCTTCTTAAAATACTCGACGGCAACATGTATTCGCTTCAGAATGGCGAAGAACTCCTCCACCTCTTCATCCGACGGAACCGCCACCTCCTTCACGCCGTCATCTTTTTCTTCCCGTCGTGCTTTACCTCTCTTTCCGTCAGCCTCTCCGTCATCCTCCCGTTTTCTCTTCTCCAGCTCCATTTTTATTTTTCTTTTTTTGTTAGAGAGATAAAATATTTAATCATAATTCCTTATGTGATGGTTATGGTTTTGATCAAGAACGTACTTATAGTGGTTGGAAATATATCTTAAAGAGAAATTAAGAAGGACGTTTGGTTGAAACGGGAATCTTTGACGTCATGACTCCGTCAGATGGATGACGTAAGACTGGTGTTTTAGGTGAAATTGAAATTTAGCAGTGGAATGATTGACGCGTGGACAAGAGATCATGGGCTGTGTTGTTTACGTCAGCGTTGATGACATCATACACGCTGACATCATAAATCTATCAATAATTCCTCCTTAGAATTTCTCTGTAGATAATGATGTTTTGACTTTGGCCTGCCTGGCTGCTCTTTGAGCTCTTTTAATATATAAATGGTTAATTTCACTTTGGACCCTTGAAATATGCTAATTTGACGTTTGCACCATCGAAAAGAATTAATGGGACTTTTCACTCTCGAAATACGATAAATAATTTACAATGCACCTTGAATTGAATTATTAAACTTAATGTGGGCAATTTTTTTTTTCTATTGTAGCTTGCAATCTAGCTAAGTTCAAGCGTAAAAAATGTGAAAAAAAATTACACTAAATTACTTAAAAACTATATTTTCTCTTAAAAAAGAACATAAACTCATCATTTTATAAGTTATTCAATTAGTGAATCTTTTATTGTAAGTTTGTAACTGGTGAAAAATATTTAATAGAAATCTTTGCAAGACGATATAATTTTTAATAACTTTGATAACAAAACTTTAAAGGATTTTTTATAATATTTTTTAGTAAAATATTTGTATTGTGATAAAAATACTAATTTTTAAATACGTTGATAAGATAATTCTTTTTGTTGCAATTTACAGTTTCGAGATTGGCTTGAAGAATTGGTGAATTTTAAACTTGGTTATTGAAATTGGCATCCTAGAAAAAATACCAATAAAAATATTTAATTACATGCAATAGCTTAAAAAATCCACTCAGGTGCATTATGTATGATTTATTATGTTTTAAGGATGTAAAGTGCTATTAATTTTTTTCGAAGGGTCAAAGTGCCAAAAGATTATATTTAAAGGGTGCAAAGTGGGATTAAGCTATATTTGAAGTAAAATTGATATTTAAAATAATTTAGAGTAAATTACATCCACACCCCTAATGTATGCTTAAATAATTTTAAAGTCCCTGTCATTGGTTACGTTATTCCGATAAGATTCTAACGGACTATTATTTTTAGCTAGTGGTGGAGACAACATAGAGTTAGGGGGTGACATGGCTCACCCAACATTTCTTAAATCACCTATAGCTTTTTATTGTCTCCACCACTTCCTGAAACTAGTAGCCATTAGAACTCTATCGGAATAACGTATCCAATGCATTATCCCATTAGAGTTTTTAACTATGTTTCAGGAGGCGAGTGTAATTATCGATACCATATGGACCTTCAAGTTATTTTTGCATACGTAAGAGGTGTGTGTGTAATTTACCGAATATTTTATTCCATTTGTGAAGTTATTACGCTTCCAAAGACTTTTTAGTGGGAGGCTGCTTCAGCGTTTTCTTTTGACAGTTTTAGAATCTTCTTATAGTCAGATTTGACTAATAACAGCAAAATCAATAATTAAAATTTAATTACTCAAAGTCTTCAAGCATGGTTATGCAAGAACTAATTATTGACCATGTTTCAATTTATTTCAAATTACGGCCTCCCCTGAGAGATGGCAAAATTAAAAAAAAAAAAAACCTCTTGTTTGGGTAATTACAGCCAACCCTCATTTTAAATATTTTTACATAAAATCTATGTCATTCGGTTATTTACCGAACGAAATCGTAATGGTATGAAATGTTGGCATACCGAAATTTCGGTTCATTTTACCGCTTTAAAATCCCTAAATTTGCCGTTATAGGGGTTTTTTCGTAAGATAATACATAGTTGAGGAAGGTGGCTATAATTACCCAAACATAAGGGGGGTTTTCCGTAATTGGACAATTACTCGAGGGGTGGCCGTAATTTTCCCAATTTATTTGAACATGAATCGAGCTCGAATAACTTAATTCTGTATACCCTATTTTTTTATAATCAAGTTCAAGCCATGTTTGAATTTAATCGAACATGAATCGAGCTCAAATAACTTAATTTTGTATACCTATTTTTTTCATAATCAAGTTCAAGTCATGTGTGAATTTAATCGAACATGAATTGAGCTCGAATAACTTAATTTTGTATACCTATTCTTTTCATAATCAAGTTCAATCTCAAGTCGAGCTTCGTATATCGAACGAGATAAAATACCATGTGTTCAAATTTGGTTCGTTACATTAACAAATTGAGTTCAAATATGACGACATCCTGAAGTGAATATTTACCACACTAATATCTAAATTATTTTCTAAAACATCCAGTGAAACTTCAAAAAATTAAATTACATAGTTAATACGAGAAAACAAATGATTAATCAATATAATAACTTATTTTGAGATTTATTTTGATAAATAAAATATAATACAAAACTAGTTAAACGAACACTTCAGAAATATTACAGATTAAGACCATGCTAATTGTAATTAAATCATTTATTAATTTCCAGAACGAATTTGCAGAGAATTCGGCTGTAATTAATTAATTAATTAATCAATAAATTCACCTTCTAGTTCAATTAAACAGAAAAATCATATGGGTTCGGAATTAAGATCCAAACCCGTATCACCCTTCCCTTCAATCTTTTCCGATACTTTATTCGCACCGTCGAAATCCTCCGTTTTAAACGACGGGCACCAGTCCGTTACCGTTAAGTCACGGCCGCCGTTACGCTTCTGGAAATACTTAACGGCCACGTGTATCCTCTTCAGTATGGCGAAGAATTCCTCCACCTCCTCATCCTCCGGCGGCGTCACCGCCTCTTTCACGGCGTCGGCGTGCTCCTCGCCCTTCCGCAGCTTTTTACCCCGTTTGCCCTCAGCTGCCGCCGCTTCACCGCCGTCGCACTTCCGTTTCCTCTTCTCCAATTCCATTACCCAGAGAAAAATAATTCGATTTTCAAAAATAAAAAATAATAATAATAATAAAAAGGAAATTCCGGAAAATGTTGAGACAGGTGTTTCAGTTGTGGTGAAGAGTCGAATTTAAGCTGAGGAATAAAAAAAAAATAGGGTAAATTACAAACACCCCCTGAGATATGATCAAATTACAAAAAAACCCCTCTTGTTTGGATAATTACATCTACCCCTAAACTATGATTTTTTCTTACACCTCCACCCTTATGGTGCCAAATTCAACATAATCATCTAGATTCCGTGAAATGTGCTCTAGTTTGTACTCGTTTTGAGTAAAAATACAGTTTCCGATGCACCACAAACTGATATATACAAGCTAAAAATCACATATTATGATCATCTTGCTTCATAATGTAGAGATTGAATGGGATAAAACGGGTACAAAAGTGATAATATTCCATATAATCTCGAATATTCCACTAAATTTGAGGAGTTGAGGGGGTGGTTGTAATTATCCAAACAAGAGGGGTGTTTTTGTAATTTGACCATACCTCAGGGGTGTTTGTAATTTAACCAAAAAAAAAAGAAGAGTGGTCCCATGGGAGGGAAATCATATGACGACTTTGATGCGGATGACGTCACATTAATGACGTAACACGAGTGGTTCTCAGGCAATTAGAGGAGAGAGAAAAATATCTTTATAATTATTAAATTATGAGTAATTTATTATAATTTAATTTTAGGCAGGGCCTGGTTGGCAGTTGTCGTGGTTTTGGATTTGTACAGGTAAGAGGAAAAATCAGTGTGAAGGTTATAATTTATTAATTTTAGTTTGACCTAGTCAGCTTTTTAGTCCGACAAACAATAATAATGTAGAATTTGATTTTCAGCACATGGAATTAATCATGCATTTGACCTTAAGTGCAAAGTTCATTTTGATTTCATTTGAAAGATTTATTTATTCTATTAAATCCATAGAATTTTATAAGTTGAGTATGACTCTTTTTTTTTTGAAGAAAAGATGATGCATATTATTAGGCAATATGTGCCAAATGGGTAGGAAGTGTAACACCTTCCGTACAAGAGTGACCATAACATTTAGCTATCGCATGGGCCAAACAATTACCCGAGCGTTTAATATATTCAAAACAACAAGATGAAAAGGAAGACGCAATCACAATACTATTTTCAATGTACGCACCAAAGGATGCCGAGTTGACGGAGCAGTCACGTAGGTTTTGGATAACCGAGAGATTATCACCTTCAATGATAACTTTGGGCCATTCAAATTCTTTAGCTTTTACCAGAGCTCGGAAAACCGCATGAGCCTCTCCGTCTATCGCCTTTGGACGTCCATGAATTTTATATGCCGCCCACCAGACACATTTACCACTATCATCTCGAGCAATACACGCTAGGGAGTAGAATGTTTCTCCCACCGGAAACGCGGCATCTACATTAATTTTTATCACTCTTTTTTCCGGTGGCTTCCAATGAGCTGGATGACTTCTACTCCGAAGCTCGAGGGGTTTAGTCATTCCCTGCATAAACTCCGCTAGATAGGCAATGCTCCAGCTCCAGACCTCGTTTAACGGGGTCCCGTTTTCCCCGTGGGTTTGCTTGTTCCAATTGTCCCACAACTTCCACATAGCTATCACCACCAAACAAACTTCATCAACTTTAAGCTCCTTGAGTAAAAAGTCAACCCAACCCTTTGATGACGCCATTTTATCCTCCGCGAATAAAGCCAGCGGTAGTGCCCTCCAAACCACCTCCACCCCGCTGCATTTGGTGATAATATGGAGGAATGATTCGTGAGCAGCTCCACATTTGCGGCAACGAGGATCTGTGACAATTTTTCGACGGTACAGTTCCAAGTTAGTCGGCAAAATGTCGGAGCATACACGCCAAATGAAGATTTGAATCTTCGGAGGAATAGTTAGCTTCCAAATTTTCCTCCAGTCGAAGTGTGGTAATCCGCTAGTCGAAGACCCATCTGCCCCACGATCATGCTGGAGCGGCAAAATAGACGTCAAAATGTGATGGTAACAAGAGCGGACCGTAAACTTACCGTGATTTGAGAACCGCCAGACCCAACGATCTTCAACTTGAGGGCAACCGATTGGGACTGCCATTATCCGATCCTGATCCACCTGCCAAAAATTATCTGCAATAATTTGGAGATCCCATGAGTTCGTCAACGGATCAATAAGATCCGACACTTTATTCGGGAAAGAAGAATCATTTGGTCTCCTCGTAAAAATCCTAAAACGGCCATCCTCCATCAGCCATGGGTCTGCCCAAATGGATGTAGACTGTCCGTTTCCCACCCTACGACGTAGCCCTGACAAAACATGTTCTCGAACCGACCATATGCTCCTCCATGTTGCCGAGGGTCGATAGCCCAAATCTGCCGAGAATAAGGAGCCATGCGGGAAGTATCTTGCTTGTAGTATTCGAGATAGAAGAAGCTCAGGTTCAGTCATGATTCTCCAAGCTTGTTTAGCAAGCATGGCCAAGTTAAAGCACCTCATATCTCTAAACCCTAGACCGCCAAGATCCTTCGACTTGCACAACTTTTTCCATGCAATCCATGACATTTGATGCTTCGATCCATTTCCCCACCAGTAAGCTTGGATTGCTGACTCAATCTCCCGGAGAAGACCTGATGGGAGCAAAAAATAGCCCATCATATAAGTAGGGATGGCCTGGAGAACCGCCTTAATGAGAACCTCTTTGCCCGCTTTCGAGAGGTATTTTTCACCCCACCCATTAATCCTTGCCCAAATACGTTCTCGAAGAAAGCTAAAGATTTCCCGCCTCGTCTTTCCCAACGCTGCCGGCATGCCCAAGTACTTCTCATGTTTATCGACCACCTCAAATCCTAAAATTCTCTGAATTGCTTCTCGTATAGCCGGTGGTGTTGATGGGCTAAACGATATTTTAGACTTCTCATGATTAATCTCTTGTCCCGATATATGCGCATATTTGTTTAAGATCTCCCTCAGAACAGTGGCATCAGTCTCGGCGGCCCGACAAAATATAAGAATATCGTCGGCGAAGCATAAATTAGATATCATTGGGGCCGATGGCGCTATTTGAATACCACGTATACCACCTCCACTACTCGCCCTTTGTAACATTGAAATTAACGCCTCCGCACAACAAATGAAGAGATAAGGTGACAGAGGGTCGCCTTGCCTGAGGCCTCTCCGAGGTTGTAAAGCACCAAACTGCGAACCATTGAACAAAAACTCATATGAGACAGTGGAAACACACATCATAATTAGTTCTACCAGAGAACTGGGTATCCCTAGACGACGTAAAACTTTTTCCAAAAAAGGCCATTCAATCCGATCGTAAGCTTTACTAATGTCAAGTTTAATAGCCATATAGTGAGTTTTGCCTCTAGTCCTAGATTTAATGTAGTGATTGATCTCATATGCAACTAGGACATTATCAGTAATAAGCCGTTTCGGGACGAAAGCGGATTGAGTGGGGGAAATCAGATCGTCTAAGTAATATGTTTATTAAGTTTGTCATTCGACATATTTATAAATATTTATTTATAAATATCTCAATTCTGCTAATTTCGATCTGAAAATATTCGAATTTGGAACCGTATTTTTCTTTCCGATTTCCGAAGTTCCGATTTCTGATTCTTCAGTAATGTATTTAGAACGAAAGTAAAATAGTATATAGAATTACAGGAAAATTCCGATTTTCGATCCAATTTTAGTTCCGAATATTTTTATGGGTTTTCAAAATATATAATATAGTTTTATGATATATTTTGTAATTCCATAATATAATCTATGTTATATTTTATGTGAAATATAAATTTCGAATGGCCAAGTAAATTAAAACTTAGAAAAGATTAATTAGTATTAGAAATTTTATTTTGCACTTTTCGTTATAAGAAAATATTTGTTTCAATTTGTCGTTCTTACATGTGTTTTTATTCATTGCATTTATTCGAATTCTATTTTGAATTTTCATGCAAAAAAAAAATTCAAAAAAAAAGATGGAAAAATATTGTGAAAATCGGAATGAAAAATATTATAAACCAATATAATTTTCGAAATTCCGCTGATTCCGAAATCAAAATGAATTTTTGCATTACAATTTGTTTGGAATGGAAATTGGAACCCACTTTATACTTTCGAAAAAAATTGAAATTTTCCGGAAAAAAACAATTTGCGATACATTCCGTCCGATTTCAACTCCTATATATATTATAAAGCATTTTTTCATAAAAATGGTAATAATTGAAATATATTATGTTGCTTGATTAGAAGAGGCCCAAATTAAACGAGCCAATTGAAGGCCCAAATATTTCATAACCCAATAAATAAATTTTACGTTTTGGAGTGTTGGACCAAAAAAAATCAATTTTACTGGGACCAATCCAAAAAGGCTAAACCAATCGATCTAGTGCACAGTGTACGTTACCGTAGACTGCAACACAGAGGATGAATTCTCTGACCACAACGGCTTAGACTGTGACTATGTTGTCCTCGTGGATTTACAAGATCTTTCTGAGCCTGACCAATCTAGAGAACATAGTAATAATCATTGAATATAAGGGTAGTTTTGGAAATCTAAATTTGGTCTTCCATTTAGCTTGACCCTTTCTTAAACCATTCAATTTCCAATGGGATTAAATAATGGTGGGAAATTGGGATTGGCGGGAAAGTGTTCGTCAAATGGGCGGCAGAATCAGCGGCAATCAAGTCCATTTAGCAATTTTCTGCGGGTTTTTTACATTTTCAATTACGAATAATTAACAAAATTATTAGTACCAATTTTTTTGTCCAAGTTTCAATTTCTGACATTACTTAGAAATTGGAATACACAAAGTACCAGACTTTGTATCTTCGTAAGTAATCCAACACAAAATTTTGGTCCAATTATGTTATTAAAGTGTACGCTCAGCTACTTTTCAATAATCCAAATTTCAAATAAAAACACTACGTAATTAAGGGGATGTGTTCCATGATTTGCTCCAATTGAATTATTATGATTAATTAATTATAAGTAGCGAGCATAAAAAGGTTAACGAGATTCTACACCTGATTAATTATATGTTGAATTTAACACCATAAGAGTTAAATTGTAAGAATATTCATTGTTTGGAGTGGTTGTAATTACCCAAACAAGTGAGATTTTTACGTAATTTAACCATCTCTCTGGGCCGTAATTTATCCTAAATTTAATATAGCTTTTACAAATTTTCAACCTCTTATATTGAACTTTCACCTCATTGCATTGGAAGTTACAGAACAGGAAGAAAAGAACAAATACCAATAAATACAGGCATAACAAAAGACAACAAATTAAACCATTCTTAAAAAAAAATAAAAAAAATATTACAATAAATGATTTTTGTTGTTCTTCGGATAAGATATTATTCCAATGAAGGATGAATAGTTAAAGATCCCAGAAAAAGAAAGAAATGAAAAAAGTGGGGACCCCCAACAAAAATAAGTCACATGTAAGTGCAAATAAGATGTCATAAAATCACGCCTACTTCATCCGTATCACATGTTTTATTTACCTATGCCTTTGTGCCATTCTCTTTTATATCCAAACACCCCCTAACCAAAAAAATTAAAATAAAACAAGTGCCAAATTTTCATTCTGTTCAATTTCTGTTTCTCCCCCCATCAAATCAAAACATAAAAATGTTCTTCTGTTTTTCTTTATCTTATTTGTCGAGATTTTTCACTGTATGGATACTTGTTGTTGAGCTAGCTTCAACGGCCACGATTAATCCGTCGTCGAAAATCGGCAACGGCTACCGTTTGATCTCCGTTGATGATTCTACTAATGGTGGTGGCTTAATTGGCCTTCTTCAAGTTAAGCAGAAGAACAATGTTTACGGCCCGGATATTCCACTCTTGCAACTCTTTGTTAAGTAAGAATCTTTTTTTTTTTTTATGCTTCTAACTAAAAACACATACGTACATTTTGGTGTGTGTAGATTAACGGTAAAGCTGCTTCTGCATAATTTCAAGAACCTTAACTATTTTGATTCTTGATGTTTGTTTACACTAAAAAAACACACACACACACACACACACACACATCCATGTTGGTGTGTGTACATGAACACTGTAAAATCATACTCTTCAATTTCGATTCTTGATCACAAAAATTCTTACTTTTTTTTTGAAGGCATGAAACAGAGAGCCGATTGAGGGTTCACATAACCGATGCAGAGAAGCAAAGATGGGAAGTTCCGTACAATCTTCTACCACGAGAAGCACCTCCGTCAATTAAACAAACAGTTGGTGGGCAGAGAAAAAATGCACACAGCAAAACACCCACCTCCTCTGAATACGCCGGAAAGGAGCTCATCTTCGCCTACAACGCCGACCCATTCACCTTCTCCGTCAAACGAAAATCCAACGGCCAGATTCTCTTCGACTCCACCTCCGATGAATCCGACCCGTACAGCTCTCTGGTGTTCAAAGACCAGTACCTCGAGCTCTCAACGAAACTGCCCAAAGACGCTTCGCTGTACGGTTTGGGAGAGAACTCTCAGGCACACGGGATTAAACTGTACCCCAACGAACCGTACACGCTGTACACCACTGATATATCGGCGATTAATCTGAACGCTGATTTGTATGGGTCGCACCCTATGTACATGGACCTGCGACACAGTGGAGCGGAGCCCTCTGCCCATGCAGTTTTGCTGATGAACAGTAACGGGATGGATGTTTTCTACAGGGGGAATTCTTTGACGTATAAAGTTATTGGGGGTATTTTCGACCTTTACTTCTTCTCCGGTCCTTCTCCTTTGGCCGTTGTTGATCAATATACTTCGCTCATTGGCCGGCCGGCTGCTATGCCCTACTGGGCTTTTGGTAATTTTACACTATTTTTTTTTTTGCATTTTATTATTTATGTTTAGATTTAAATTATATTCATTCTGGGTTGGTAAATTCTGAGGGGTTTATTAAATGTCCAGAAAAAAATTAGTTGGGGAACTTTTTTTACATTTAAAACTTTTCATTCTTTATATGGTTCTATGGTCAAAAAGTGATTCTAGAAAGAGTGCAAAAGCACTTTTTTCCCCACTCTTTAGAAAAAGCTTGGACGTACTACTTAATGCACAAATCTTTTTTATTTTTATCTAACCAATTAATATAGATTAGATTGAATTCAATTTACATATGATCTAAGTAATTAGTTATTAAAATGTTTAATTATTGTAAAAATCAGTATCAAAATTGAGAGAAATTGCTAATTTTATTTAATAGTAATACCATTTAATTCTGGTCTGAATTGTTTGTTACAGGTTTCCATCAATGCAGATGGGGGTACCACAATTTATCAGTGGTGGAAGACGTAGTCGAAAATTACAAAAAAGCCGAAATCCCGCTCGACGTAATATGGAACGACGACGACCACATGGACGGCCACAAAGACTTCACCCTCAATCCGACCGCCTACCCCCGCCCGAATCTCTTAGCCTTCTTGGACAAAATCCACTCCCAAGGCATGAAGTACATTGTCCTAATCGACCCTGGCATCGGCGTAAACGCCACCTACGGTGTCCACCAACGAGGCATAGCGAAAGACGTCTTCATCAAATACCAAGGCAAACCCTACTTGGCCCAAGTATGGCCGGGGGCCGTCAACTTCCCGGACTTTCTCAGTCCGGGAACCGCCGACTGGTGGGCTGACGAGATCCGTCGGTTCCACCAGCTCGTTCCGGTGGACGGCCTCTGGATCGACATGAACGAGGCCTCCAATTTCTGCACGGGCCTATGCACAATCCCGACGGGTCGGATCTGCCCGAACGGAACCGGGCCGGGTTGGATTTGCTGCCTTGACTGCAAGAACGTGACCAATACGAAATGGGACGATCCGCCGTACAAAATCAACGCGTCGGGCATACAAGCGCCTATTGGGTACAAAACGATAGCCACGAGCGCTTATCACTACAACGGAGTTTTGGAGTACGACGCACATAGTTTGTATGGCTTCTCACAATCGATCGCCACCCACAAGGCGCTTTTGGGGTTAGAGGGGAAACGCCCGTTTATTCTGACCCGTTCGACTTTTGTTGGGTCTGGTCGTTACGCGGCTCATTGGACGGGTGACAACAAAGGAACATGGGAGGATTTAAGGTACTCCATTTCGACTATATTGAATTTCGGTATATTTGGCGTGCCGATGGTTGGATCCGACATATGTGGATTCTATCCGGCTCCGACGGAGGAGCTCTGCAACCGTTGGATCGAGGTCGGTGCTTTTTACCCTTTCTCACGAGACCATGCAAACTTCTATTCTCCGAGACAAGAGCTCTACCAGTGGGAATCAGTGGCGGAATCCGCTAGAAACGCTCTCGGAATGCGGTACAAGCTTCTACCCTATATATACACGCTTAGCTACGAAGCCCACTTACACGGGGCCCCAATCGCCCGACCCGTTTTCTTCACGTTCACGAACGACACCGAATTGTACGGTTTGAGCACACAATTCCTTCTCGGGCGGGGTTTAATGGTGACTCCGGTGCTCGAGCCGAATAAAACCATCGTGGATGGAATATTCCCACGCGGTAGTTGGTACAACATGTTTGATTTCACGAAGGCGATCGTTTCAAAAGGGTCGTCCAATCGCGTGGCGCTCGACGCTCCGTTGAATTCGATCAACGTCCATTTGTACCAAAACACGATTATCCCAATGCAACAAGGTGGATTGATATCGAAGCAAGCGAGGACTACGCCTTTTGCCCTTGTCGTAGCGTTCCCGTTAGGTGAAACAAAAGGGGAATCGAAAGGGAATCTTTTCCTCGACGAAGACGAGAACCCGGAGATGAAACTCGGAAATGGGCACTCGACGTATGTTGATTTTTACGCGAGGATTAGTAACGGGAGTGTGAAGGTTTGGTCGGAGGTCGACGGAGGAGGGTTTGCTTTGGAGAAGGGATGGATTGTTGAGAAAGTGAGTGTGCTTGGATTGCATGGAGGGAATAAGAGTGGATTTGAGATTGAAATTGATGGGAATAAAATTGAAGATGGTTCAAATGTGGAATTTAGAACAATTGAACATGAATTTGTAGGTAAATTGGAAGAAGGTGGGAATAAAATTAAGAGTGTGATGGTGGAGATTACAGGGTTGGAATTGCCTGTGGGGAAGAATTTTGCTATGTCCTGGAAAATGGGAATCCAAGGTTGAAACAATATTTATGGTGGGATTTATTATTATTAAAAAAAAAAATTGTTGTAACACTACCTAATTTTATCTTGCCAATGAGGGTTCTTGCATTATGAAATAAAATTCTCGAATTAAATTGCAAAAATTCAAATTGAAAGTTGGAGGAAATCTAATTGGTTATTCCATTTTTTAATGAAAAAAAAAATAGTTATGAGAATTTATATTTATTTAGTAAACAATTAATTCATTCCACAAAAGAATGTGTAGTTGATCCAGTAGTTAGTCATAGCCCAAAAGCGAAGCGGGCCGGACTAATGGCCCGAATTAGACACGTGAGAATAGGAATTTGGGTCAATATACAAACGTCAACGTCTTGATTGACCATATTACTCGCACCTTCCTCGCAATCTATGGCGTGGAGAAAATGGACGGCTGTGATTTAAGGAGAAAAAAGATAAGGGCTGCGAATATGAAATTTAATTATTAATTATAGAAATCAAAATTCTTTTTTACTTGCAAACAATTGATTTTTTCGTGTATTTGTCACACCCACTAATTAATCAAAGTAATTTGGGGTGCCAACTTGTACACATTTTTGGGCTCCATTTTTTCTTTGATTGGAATTCTTTATTGCAATTTAAATTTCGATCTTATCTTGCAACTCATGGATGACTTGGATTATCACACGTCATAATTTATTATTTATTGGAAAATTTGTAAATTAGCCTTTAATATAATATCTTTTTCTATCAAAAAAAATATAAATAGTGACGTCAAAAATAACCAGAAAATATGAATTTTTCAGTGCTACTATTTTTAGCAAACTGAACTGCTAGATTAGTGCTGATTGTAGCTCTTGTGCCATGTTGAAAAAGGAAAATCGTAATTATTATATGCAATGGGCCACGGCGATGTAGAATGACACGTGGCCTGCAGCCGGGACACGTGTCAGATTTCCTTTGGCATCATCCACTGATTGTGGCGGGAAAAAGCTGACGTTGGGCTCGGGGCCTTCTTTTCTGGCGGGAAGAAAAAGTAAGCAACTCGCTCACTCGCTCCCTCACTCACTCTGTCACACTCTCTCACATGCACAGTCACGCATCATTTTCTCTCTCTCTCTCTCTCTCTCTAGCTGTCAAATTTTGGTTGATATTGCATGTATACCCATAATACATGTATGTTATGTATGTATGTAAGAAATATAGGCATTCGGTTTCATCATACATTAGTAGGGTAAATTACAATCACCCCCTTAGGTATGGTGAATTTACGAAAAAATCCCTCTTGTTTGGATAATTATATCTACCGCCCTCCAGGCCCGGCCCTAGGCTATAGGCAACTTTGGCCTATGCCTAGGGCCCCCAACTTTTCAGTATTATGGTTAGGGCCCCAAAAATTATGTTTACTATATAATTAGGGCCCCCAAATACGAAATAGAATTTATATTTTCTTATTTAAAAAAAATATTAATATATATAGCCTGAATTTTATACAAAAAATAATATATTAGTTAATAATTTTAATACTTGTATTTAAACTAAAATAAAAATATCCAAAATATTTAATTTTATATTAAAAAATAATGTAAAGGGCCCTAAATTTATTACTTCGCCTAGGGCCCCATATGGGCTTGAGCCGGGCCTGCCGCCCTCAACTATGTTTTTTTCTTACATCTCCACCTTTATGGTGTCAACTTCAACATAATCATCTAGATTTTGTGGAATGTGCTCTAGTTCGTACTCGTTTTGATGTAAAAATACATTTTATGATGCACCGCAATCTGGTATAAACAAGCCAAAAAACACGTATTATGATCATCTTGCTTCAAAATGTGAAGTTCGAATGGGATAAAACGGGAACAAAAGTGATAATATTCCATATAATCTCAAAGATTCCACTAAATTTGAAACCGCAAAAATGAACGTATAAAGAAATTTATAGTTGAGTGGATGGTTATAATTACCCTAACAAGATGGGAGTTTTTATGATTTAACTATATCGCAGTGGTGGTTGAAATTTACCATACATTAGTATAAAATATATTAATATGTGTTCGTTTGTTATAGTATGTTATATACAATTTGTATTTTTTTTAAATGAAATTAGAAATTATACACGATATATATAGGTCCGACGTGCCACGATATCCTAATTTTATGGGCTATACAAAGAAAAGTCAACTCTAGATTAAATGTGTAATTAGTTTATTACAATTTTATTTTGGGATTTGATAAACGTCGTTCGAGCTTTAATAATACAATTTCGACTTTAAACGTGATTTTGATCATTTTTTATTTCAAATTTTGCAAAATACGAAAAATAGGATTTTTAGTATTCTGAGTTAGTTTTCTAGTCCAACTTGAATCACCAAAATTGGGTGTCGGAGAAAGATATACATGAATCAATAGATACTGCCCACAACTTTGATGTATTGAAGGATCTAAATTCAAAATGTGATTCATTCATGCATAACTTTGTCACACGACATTCAATCTAGCGAATTTAAGTTGAATTAGAAAACTAACCTCAAGGACTACTGTTTCGTGTTTCAAATTTTGCCAAAATCAAAATAGAAATATGTCAAAATTAGGTTCGAAGTCAAAACGATATTAGAAAAATTGGAAACGACATTTAACATTTCAGTTTCATTTTTCAACTATTCAATCATGTATTTTACCGAGTTCGAGCATGAATGTATTTCTAAGAGTTCGAGTCATTAAACTCATGTACATATTCTGTTTCTTCGTTTATATTTTTTTATTCTCCTCAAGGAGTTGTAAACTGCGACGGAACTAACAATTTTTTATTTGACTAAACATAATTTTTACGAGGGTTCAGGTTTAACTCTATGTACAAAAAATAGCACAAGATTAATATATACATAAACATATCTAGAATATCACAAATCTGATTACTTAATGTTACATTTCAAAATATAATGATGCGATTTCATTACAAATTGCAATTTACCATTTCAAATTTTAATTTTCTGACAATTGTTTTAACAATCTTGATTGATTGGGATACTCGGGAACCAAAAATATTTCTTAATAAATTGATTGATAAGATCTGTTGGAATTTCTTGATATTTCTTACGAAAATGTAAGATTTATTGAAACATAATTTTCGTGAAAAGTCATCTAATTATGAAGATGGTAGCATTAGGTCAATTGATCGATTATTATAGACCAATTTAAAAAATAAAATTAAAAACCCTCACACTTGCAATGGGTGATTGTTAAACGTAAATGAGGTTAAATTACAAACCACCCTGCACACCTAATATGCATGGGTGAATGTGATTATGTGCCCATCTACGGTTAATAATTACCCAATGTGAATAAATAATAATTTGTTGTAGCATATAATTTCTCGTAGGGAGTTCTGTTTTTAATTAAGATAAATGAACTAATAAAATTTTCTAGTATGAATACAAACCAAACGACGTTAAGTGAAGATGAGGATCGGTGTTCGAATCGCCGAATTTTCTCCGAAGAAAACCTTGTACAAAGATTTTAATTGGGCTATTAGAAATTTATATAAATACAATATTAATTTGGAGGACGGAGTTTAATGATTTTATGTAAAGAATTAGGTAAATCAATATAAAATTAATTTTTCAATATTATGTATATTTACACAATGCATCTCGCTATCTATGACTACCAAATAAAAAATTCAAAAGTTTGACTTTTTTTCTTTTAGTAAGAAATTTCCAAAGTTTTAAAGAATTCAATTGTGATCACTCTAAATTTAAAACGATATTAATATTTATAAAAGTTGTTTGGCGCATTGATGTAATTGGATTTAACCTTAATTAATATTGATATAATCCTTGGAGCCACAAAATCTACATTAAATATTATATATTAAAATTTTCCAGATTTTTGTCATATATTTTTGTAATGAGATATTAGTGTATTCATGTAATATAATTAGTAATATATAGTACATAATCTGATGTGTGTTCATATTTTTGGTCAACTCAATTCTCCAAAAAGCCCACAAGATTTCATAATTTAATATGTAATAATTAATATGGTAATTGTATTTTGCTGCATGGATGTGCATGGTAAAAGCCATTGGTATGTATGCAACATGTGTATCATATGACCATAGTGCCTAAAGCAATTAATGACCAAAAAACATATTCAATTTGTAAAAGAATTTTGACGTGTCCAGAAATAAAAAGTAAAGGACGAATATACCCCTAGAAGCACTTATATCTACACTATCGACCATCGTCTTCAATATTAATTAGGGATATTTTTGCTTTCTATAGGGCTAGATAAACGTGTAATTAATGAATTGAAATTGAAAAAAATAGGGGAATTAAAAATATTAATTGTCAAAAAAAAAAAAAAAATTCATGATAAGTTCATTAATAAATGGCATAACCTTTTTTTCCCCCGGTACCGTATGCAACTTCACTTCGTGTTATTTCGAGTTTGTACGATCTTCTTCAATAGCTTAATATTAGAAGGAATCTCGTAGTTTCTTCAACGATAGAATCAATATGCTTGAAAAAATTCTTCTCAAGGAATATGCAAAGATCTTTGAGAGATGATCAAACACAATAAGGAAATCCATGTGTTACTAATGAATGTTATACCCAATTGGTATCATCCACTAATTTAAGCCCTAATTTAAAAGTTACATTTCGATCCAGACATTTTTGAACATGCCGCTAATAAATAACGAACGGGGACAAGGAAAAAATATGTAGGTACTCGGATATATATACGTACATACACATTTGACCTAATTATGATCTAGCGAGCGGAGTTTAAAATATGTGGGCCGATCGTTTTACTCATGCCTTTTAAAATATTTATGGGCTTACATAATTAAATATGTAACGGCCTTTTCATCTTTAGTGTATTAATTCAAGTTCGAGAAACTTGATTGCTTATGATGCGGCCTAAATCTAACGTAACTAGTTAAATTTAATAAAAGATTGGGCTGCATAATTAGTATTGCATTTTAAAACTATTATGGGCTCGTATAATTAAATATTAACAGCCTTTACGTCTTCAGAGTTAAGAATAATTATGGACGTACGAACGAAACAAATAATTAATGCTTGATGAGGCCGGTCCATATCAATATAATTTGGCCCACATAAATTGAATCGAAATAATTAGTTATACTTGCCTATTTTAACAAGATGTGACTTCCTACAAAAAAGGCCCAAACGAACACGACTAAATACCTCGAGACACATTACATCGTCCTCTTTATTGTAAAATGCTTCTTGCTATGTTCATTTATACAATTTTCAAATTATCCTCAATATTTTATAATTAAATATATTTTTTACTCAATCACCACCATAATTTTTTTTCATCAATTTAGCAAAATTGAATTTAAAAATAAATGTACCTTATTTAAAAAGATTGACCACCATAAGCATGCAAAAATAAATAAACCCAACTCAAGGAAAATATTCCTATGGTTTCATTCCAAAAATGAAACAAATCAATAGAAAAAAAATGAAATAAATCAATACCAAAATTAAGAATTAAAAAAAAAAGTTTGAAAAACATTTGCAATATATGCTGTCGTTTTCCTTCCATGCATGCATAGAAATAATTTTCTCTTGGAGGGGTAAAAACGTGTAATAAAATGATGACAGGGCTACTTCAGTGGCACAACCGTAATACTCTTCAACAACAGCCCCTAAATACATCCAACCCCAAAATTGTCTATATTCAATAATAATACGACGACGAGTCTCAGCATCACCACCAAACAGTATCACCCAACCTATCCCACGCGCACCCCACGTCGCGTGAACATCACATTCTAAATTTATTCAACAAAAAAGGAAAAATCATTTGAACTGAAACCACGCGCGCTCAAAGAGAAAAAAACCCAAAGAATCTTTCACCTACTATGGCCAATAGCAATGATGTACATGGCATACATGTCATGATGTATGGGGGGTCATGGGTCATGTATGGCCATAGCCAGCTAATCATGCATTTAATTCCCTACACCATAATACACACCACAAAATCTGTACACACACTATATATACAGCCCCACATACACCCATTTTAGTGTGTGTGCCCCATCATTTTTCTTTTTTGACCACCACAGTAAAAGAAAAAAAAAAACACACTCAGTTGAGTGTGTGGAGGAGAGGACCCCCAGTGGGTGAAAAGCAGCAGGTATAATAGCCATACTGTATGTATATGTGTGTATGTATGTATAATGTATGTTTGTAATTTTTTATTATTATTATTTTTATGTTTTTGGTTCTTGAGATTGGGGTTCTTGGGTCAGTCAACTGATGTATGTGTTGTTGTGAAATAAAAGAAAAGAAAGAATTAAAAATTAAATAATAATAATATAATATAATTAGAATAAAAATGAAAAACAATTTTCCGAAAAGTCCACTTTATAACACAGTATATTACACAGAGAGCCACTGGGTTTGTATTGAAGAGGTGTTTTCTTATGTCACTGTTGTTGCTGCAAATCTTTCGATAATCCCATAACCCAGATTGTTTGTCACCTTCTACACTGTCGAATTATTCGTAACCGTTGATTTCTAATCCGTTTTCCACACTCTGTATTTACTTCTTTTGGTTCTTGATAGATAGAGAGAGAAAGAGGGTGTGATAGAGAGAGAAAGAGAAAGAGAGAGAGAGAGAGGGATTTATTTATATCTCTATAAATAGATATCTGATCCGATTTTATCTCTCTTTTTTTCTTTGGGTGCTCTGATTTTTTATTTTAATTTTCAGAGAAGAGAAGAGAAGTGGATTTTTATGTCGGCAGGTTTTGAATTGGGTGCTGTTGTTGTAGTATTTGGAATTGGGGGTAATTGGAAGAGGTGTTTGTCAACATATTGCAGTGATTGCATGCGAAAATCACTCTGCTGTGGATTATTCCAGCAGAGCACACTCAATTTCTTCCCAACTGTTTCGATGCGTTTGAGGCCCAAAAGGTACAACACACTCTCTTTCTTCCTTAAACCCCTTTTAGGGTTTTTGTTTTTTAATTTTTTTTTTAATTTTGTATCTGTTTGTTCAATTTGTCTGCCTGTATTCTTGATGGTTTCTTGATGGGTTTATGGGTGTTCTTGGGGGTTTTGGCCGCCGGATCTGATATTTGCCTGTTCTAAATTTTTCTGGGTTTTTTTTTTTTTTTTTTTTTTTTTTTTAATTTTGTTGTTTGGTTTGTTGATGCAGGACTTGTTCTGGAGTTCAATTTTTTGGGGGTTATCACATAAATCGGCTATTCAATCTTTTCTTGTTCTTGAGAATCAAAAACCCCTTCATACAATCTCTCTGAGATTTTTTCTTGAAAAATTTTTGCAACCCATTTTCCCCTTTTCTTTTTGAGTAATTTAGTTTTGGAAGAGTCACAGTTTTGAGGGTATTCTTTTTGAGGGGGTTAAAAAAAAAAACAAAAAACAAAAATGTTCGTAAAGAAAACCATTCCGGAGCTCCGAAAACCAGTTCGATTCAATCAGGTGTCCATTTCCAAGAAACCGCGGGCCAAACCCGAACCCGCCCGACAGCCGAGGAGGGTCCGTATCATCTGTAACGACCCGGATGCCACCGACTCTTCCGACGATGAAGGAGCCCCCGAGAAGGTGAAACGGGTCATCCGCGAAGTTTACTTCCCAACCCACGACCCGGTTAAGGCGACGAAACCAACTGCTGATGAAATTGCCAAGAAGGAAAAGGTTTTCCCACCGAAAATCGAAATCAAACGAAACTCAGTTACGGGGAAATACAGGGGCGTTCGGCAACGCAAATGGGGCAAATGGGCTGCGGAAATCCGCGACCCGATCCAGCACAAACGGGTCTGGTTGGGTACCTACGACACCGCTGAGGACGCTTCGATGGCTTACGAGATAAGGCGAATGGAGTTCGAGGAAATGGCCAAGAATAGTGGAGTGGACTTCTCGTTCGAGAAGAGTTCTTCCAATAGCAAGAACAATGTGGAGAAGCCGAAGAAGCATCTCAAAGACGCCGTTTTGGATTCCTCGGTCTCGGAGGAATCTAGCGGGAGTGCAGTTTCTCTCACTTCGCACACATCTCCCGCATCGGTGCTCGAACTGCTCGAATTGGATTCTTTGACCTCCGCTTGGGGTTTTGATGTCAAGAACGAGGAAGTTAAGGCGATGGACAATGTGCTTCTAGAAGCTAATAATGTTGTCGAGGATAACATTAATGATGAATTGATGGCGTTGGCACAAATCGGACAAGAAATGGATTTGGATATGGATATGGAGTTCGGTCCGCTTTTGGCGGGAGATGGTTTTTCTGCGGCCTTGGACGATTTTGTTTCCGATTTCTTGGACATTCCGATTGGTGGGACCCACGAAGATGACGGTGGGCCGATCCCGTTGCCCGATTGCGATTTCGACTTCGATTTCGGAGGTTGTGTTGATGACCTTGCTTGGATTGATGATGTGCCAGTGCCACCTGTGATGAATGGAGCAACCCCCCTCAATATAGCATGCCCATAAGTTTTGCAGCTAGTATTTAAATTAATAATAAAAATAATAATAATATTATTATAGGTAACTAAGTATTTTTAAATATAGAGTGTTCTATCAAGAACCGGTCGGGACGATGTAAATCGTTTCTTTCGGGTTTTTTATTTATTTATTTTTATATATTTATAAAGAGTTTGTTTGTGAGAAAGATTTTGTGTGAGGGAATAGAGATTGATGAGCTTCTTTTTTGTATTAATTGTGTTGCAAGAGTTATTAAATATAGAAGGGGGCTTTTGGGTTTTCTTGTGCTATTAGAGCCGTCCAAGGGTTTCTAAAGAGTGTGTTTAATGTTTGTTTAATGAAAACTACATTTTTTTTGGTGCTAATGATTCTTGTTTAGTGTTTAATTAATTATTTTAATGTTTTTTTATGATTGTTATATAAAGTTAATTTCTTGATAATGTAATGTCAATTGAAGGATCTTTATAGTTGGGATTGAAAGTAACACATTCCTAATGTACAAGATTTGGCTTTGTCATTTACTTGCCTTTTGTTTTATTGATGCATATTCTATGTATATATCACTTATTTGTTCTCACTCCACTACACTTCTATCCACACTATTCTATGGTGTTATAGATGTTACATCGAGTTAAAACATATCGCAGATACTTATATTGTCGATCTACGCCTTTGTTTTCGTATACATGTTCGTGTGCAAAGTGGATAATTAATAATAGATGTGTGTACAAAGTGGATAATTTACAATACACGTGTATAGTAGCCTTTACCAGAGTGTAACATAAATAAGCTATTTTCTTGATCTTGATCTTGATTAGTAATTTCAACTCGTGTCTTACGATTGTTATTTATCAATAGAAGTACATGTTTAACGCCAAATATACGTTTATGGTAAGATCTTATATAGATAAGATACGTATTTTGTGCGTAATTCAAAATGTAATTGACTATTCGTGTTTCTGCTTACACGTGTATCCTCGTGAATGGAACTAACGACATACTAGATAGATGTGATCTGCATCACAAACGCGCATGAAGATTTAAGTCGGGGGTTTATCTAAACAAAATCTTTTGACGCTCAAGTTAATATAATAGTTAAACAAGTAACTAAATATAAAGAGAGTTTGACAATAGTTAATTGTGTAATTTAAAGTAATTAGCTTAAATGTTATTCATAACTATAATAATAGAACCATACAGACTTGAAATTCTATGTGTAGTAAGAGGTTGAGTTTCTTATTCTCAATTGAAGAGGAATAATATTTTTGGGTCCCATGGAATTGTAATAAGAGAATAAAAGCCTAGTATGTAATGTTCTTCCTTCCTAAAAATTCAGACTAATAATTAGCTTTTATAACAAGGGTATTAAAGTAATTTGAACATCAACACCACTTAATATAAAATTTGGTGGCAGGTTATTTCTATGCTTCAGACGGTGAGATTATACCGTTGTTGTTGTTGTTTTTTTTTTTTTTTTTTATGTGAACATACACCAATATGAGTGCGTGTGTTTGTGTGTATGTCAATGGTAAAGATTTACCCGATGTATTTTTACTTAGTGCAGTAGTATAAACCATATGGAGAATATACTTAGTTGAATTGAAGACTTTGTAAACACAATCTTTGATTAAAATTGAAAAGGCTGAATTGAAGATTTGGAACTGTTGAGAAACAATCTTTGTTTCAAATTGAAAAGACTTTCTTATATATGTAAAGGAAAATCCTGCCTCCCTCAACTTTGACAATTTGGTACTCAGCCCCCGGAAGTTTAGAAATTTAGCAGAAGCCCTGTTTGCTTGGATACAAAGTCTAAAATACCCTTACTGTTATTGTTTTGATATTTCTGCAATCACTTTATTATTTCAACCTGATCAATTCCATGACTTTTTAGTCCCTAAACAATGAGATTTTTTATTTCGTTAAATAGAGATTCGTTTGCCTTATTAATACTATTGTACAAATAAATTATGCGTGAATTGCATTTTGCACCTAAAATAAAGCATGAATTGATGATTTGCACCTCCCAAAATTAGTGGCAAAAACTACCGTCACCATACATTTATTTTTTTATTATTAGAATTTGACCCCAAAGTTTATTTTTTTATTTTTTATTAATAGATTGAGAAAAGGGCAACAATAAGTCCATCAAAAGATGTCATAAAATACCTTTGTGACAAGGCTCCTCACAGACAGGCGATAGCTGTATCCCAAATTCTCTCAAAAAAAGGAATAAAATTAAAATTAAAATAGAGAGGGGTAAAAAGGGAAAAAAATAAATCAAAAGGACAAAAAATATATAAATAAAGAAGACAAGAATTATGGGTGTGGAAATATAACATGTTAAATAGTATGGCATGAATTGGGTTGGTAGGTGGCAATTTTGACACTGCTTTAATATGTTTGTTGCTTCTTATGTTGGAAAAATCAAGTACACGTACTCTTTTGTTTACTTTTCATCATAATTAAATAAAAATAATAAATATATATTCTAATAATTGATTATAAATTGTACAGGTACACTGGAGGCTTTGGAAAAAATTGGTTTCAACAATCGAATTTAATTATTGCAGTTTGGACTGTGACACGAATCTACCCACAATATTTACTACCACAAACATGATTTATTTATATTAAAAAAATAATATTTAAAATTAGCAATTAAAACAAGATTAGATAAATTGGTTTCCACTTTCCTCCCTCGAATTTAATTATCTGCATTAGCAGACCCAAAATTTTAAGTTTGAGGGGCTCGAATGCATATAAAAACACCGCCGGGGCTTAATTCATATTATTATTATTATTATTATTATTATTATTATTATTATTATTATTATTATTATTATTATTATTATTATTATTATTATTATTATTATTATTATTAAGATATATTTTAAATGACTATTTTAAGATTGATGAATAATGGTGTTGCGTTTAGAGTTCAAAATGGCCTCAAAATGCCGACATGATACTCACTTAGACAACACGTACTTCACCACTGAACCAAATATACTTGATTCTAGACGTAAGCGTACTATGTTGACGCATTTATTCTACTACATGAGTAGCAATACTAGTACTTTTCATCTCTTGTTTCAACACCATCCAACCACACTAACAATACTATTGTTTAATACGACATATACTACTGCAGTCACATAAAACACAAAATATTTCAAAAAATAATACGAGAAGCGTCTTTCTCATAACCTATATCAAACTATCAAACATCTTTTAAATATGTGACTAGAAAAAAAAAATCAAATCTTATTTCTTCCCCTTCACAATTCTTCGAGAATGGGTCTCTTTCTTCTTTTCATTTTGTTTTCTTCACGAGTTTTTTCTTGCGCCTTTTCATTTGTTGTTTAAAGAAAAATAACTGAAAATTGAGTTTTGAATTGGAACGGGGCAAGGAAAGAAAAGAGAAAAGAAAGAAAAAAGGAAGAGAGAGAAAAATTAAATTAGAGAGAGACGAGAGAGAAGAAATATATATATATAAACTAGGACTGAACTGCATGTGAAACTCTGCAGTAGGGACTGATCGCTATAAAACGTCTGCATGGGGAACTTGGCAGTAGGGACTGATCCACCTATAAAACGTCGGTAGGAACTGATCTTTAAGTTTGAATTTTGGGATTTAACTATACTTACCCCTTCATATTATATAATATTTCTATTCTTCAATGTCATCATTAAACGTGACAATTTTTTTTTATTACTTTCTAGCTGACCTCGTATGAAACAAATCCTTGGATACTGTATTTATTTAATTTTAATAGTTTCTCTCTTTGCACGTGCTAACCATTTCCATGGGCTGAAATCTGTACTTTCAGCAATTTTTTTTTATAATATCCAATTTTCTATTCCGCAAATAATAGTTCACCTACAAAACGAAAAGAATGAGACATTTAATTTACGGCCCAAATCAGTTGTTCGGGCCCATAATAAAAGCAGCTTTACTTACTAAGGCCCATACCCGGGAATATTTGGACCCGGCCCATTAGGGTTCTTTGGTATCTTTTATTGTAAATTATCTGTATTTTTTCATTCTCGGTTGTCACCCACAGAAAATATGCCACCAGCATATTCTGATTTCTTTATGTTTTTCTTGATTTATGTTGTCATGTAAACTCATAAATTATTATGTTACAGCCTTTTATTTTTATTTTTTTATTTTATCTGATATATATTATATTAAATTTATATATATTTCTTTGTACAATTTTTTTTTTCACCGGTCGCCTCTCTCTCTCTCTCTCTCAACCAGAAAATAATATTTCTTCCCCAAATTAAATTTTCTTCCCCAATTTTATATGGAAAATCTCACAAACAACGCAAAGAAAATCAGAGTCACGTATTCCGATCCAGACGCCACCGATTCATCGTCGGACGAAACCGAATCGACTCAGAAGAAATCGAAGAGAAAAGTCCACGAAGTTTTCGTCGCCGCCGACGCGGTGAATTTCGCCGACGAGGTTGTGAAATTCCGCAAGCGGACGGGAAAATCGAAATTCGTCGGAGTACGGCGGAGGGAATCGGGGAAGTACGCCGCGGAAATTAGGGATTCGTCGAAGAAGAAGCGTCTTTGGCTGGGCACCTTCCCCACCGCCGAAGAGGCATCTAGGGTTTACCTCTCGAAGAAACGCGAACTTGAGGGCAAGCTGAAGGCCAAACGGGGATCCGATTGGATTCCATGTGAGAAGCCGCCGTCAGCTCAGGATTCGCCGTCTTCGGTGCTCGAGAACGAGAACTTTGAGCCGCCTGAGGAAATCCGCCGCCGTGACGCCGCCGCGGGAGAGGAGGTTTCAGGCGAAGACAAGGTTGGGTATTTTTTTGGTGTGCAGATTGTTGACCAGAATGGGTTTCTAGTTGGGGAATTCAGTAAGCTCGACGATCTTAGCATCTGCGCAGCCGAAGAAGCCGCCGAAGAAGCCGATTATAAATTTTAATTTTAATTTTAATTTTAATTTTTAATTTCTTCTGACATTTGATTTCATTTGATTTCGTTGTGTTCCAGTTGTTTTTTTTTTTTTTTTTTTTAAGTTCTTGAATAATGATTTTCATTGTAAATATAGCCTTGAATGGTTACTTATAGTTGAATTAATTTGGATGACATGACATTCAATTTATTAAATTTTAATCACCCCTATAAAATCATTTAAATTAAAAAAAAAATATATTATGCAACTATTAGAAAATATAAAAAATATCTTTTTTTTAATCTCTATGAGATATTTGATTATCTTCAATATAAATATGCTTGTAATTATAAACTCTAAATCATCAATTATAAGAATTAACTTTAATAAATCCATAATATTACTTTTATTCAAAAAATATAATTTATTAAGCAAAAGCACCCCTAAATATCTATAAAATTATTATTTTAATATTTAGTAAAGAGTATTAAAATCTATAATATAATAATTGATGTATAAAATTGGCAAAAAAAAATATATATATATATAAGGCCGGAACGGGAACAAGAACAGAGAGGGTATTATTCGGTAAAATGCGCTCGAGTTAATTTGTCATTCCTAACTATCATTGTCGAGAACTGAGTAGGTATTATTAGTTAAAATGTGCGCGAGTTAATTTATCATCCCTAATTATCGTTATCGAGAACAAAGAGAGTATTATTCGAGTAAATGCGCGCGAGTTAATTTGTCATCCCTAATTATCATTGTCACAGTATGAGTTTCATCCAATGGGGTATTATTCTTATTAGATAAAATGCGCGCGTGTGTTAATTTGTCATCCCTAATTATCATTGTCACAATCATTTTCATTAATATGTTTAATTTAATTCAACTAAATTTAATGATTATTATTTTATGAATAATGAATTGATTATGTAATACTCCCTCTGTCGGCTTTTGAGATCCTACACCGGGTGAAATACACCGGGTAGATCTTTACCATTAATATACACACAAACACACACACACCCACATTGGTGTGTGTAGATGAACGGTGAAAAATCACCCGGTATAACCTTCACCGGGTGTAGGATAGATAAAACCCCCTCTGTCCCATATTATATGTCTTTTTAGAGAGTTTTTTTTGTCCCAAATTATTTGTCATTTTAGATTTTCAATGTATCATTAATTGCACTATTTTCAATTTTACCCTTTATCACTCTTAATTAGTTAGTGTAAAATAATTAATGTCAGGGATATATTAGTATTTTCCTATGGTTTTCACTATAATCTATGCACATTTATTGATTTTCTTAATACGTGTGCAACAACCCAAAACGTCACTTAAATTGGGACGGAGGGAGTAACAATTTCCATAGAATTCTCCGTCGTCACCCACAATAAATATGCCAAGATTTCTTGATTTCCACTCAGCCGTGCAAACCGATAATTACTGAAAAACCAGATACGAAAATTTACAAATAAAAAAAAAAAAAAAACTTATTTACGGAAGATCTCACAAACAAGACGATGAAATTCAGAGTTACATACCCTGATCCAGACGCCACCGATTCATCCTCCGACGAAATCGAATCGACCCAGATAAAATCAAAGACAAAAGCCCACGAATTTATCGTTGACAAGGCGAAGTTTCTCCACAAAATCGCGAATTTTTCTGGCGAAAATCCGATGGGATCCGTGAGTTCAAACAAGCTGACCGGAAAATCGAGTCTCGCCGGAGTACGGCGGAGGAAATTCGGCAAATTCGCCGCCGTAATCAACGACCCTTTTAAGAAGAAGCGTGTTTGGCTGGGCACTTTCAACACCGCAGAAGCTGCTTCCGTGGCGTACCTCTCCAAGAAGCGTGAGTTTGACCAAAAACTGTTGACCCACCGAAGATTCGATTGGGTTCACGAGAATGAGACCTCTGATGAAATCGGCGGCGCCGCCGCCGTGGAGGAGGAAGTTTCGTCGGGAAATCAGCCAGATGAGGAATTTGGGTTCTTCAACGGTGTGCAAGTGTTTGATCGGTATGGGTATTTGGTGGGTGAATTCAGTAAGATCGATGATCTTAGAATCCACATTGACGAAAATGGTGTTTTTTGTTAGTTTTTTTTTTCTATTTTTTTAATTTTTTTATATATTTATTCGGTGAAGACTCTGACATTTGAATGTAGCAGATTTTAAGGTTAATTTAAGGTTCTTGAGTACAAAAATTTTCATTGTACATTTTGTCAATGTGTCCAATCTAAGGAAATATCTTTTCTTTCTTCTTTACTCTGTCTTTTCCGGTTTCGGGTTTTCGGTTTTCTCCACTATCTTTTCTTTACTTCTCTCACTAATATTTTTCTCTTTTAATTACAAGATGGGATGTGCTATTCGCGGTAGCAAAATTACGAATGTCGTTTTAAAAAATACACTCCCTATCTTTTTTTCTCTCTCTACAATTTTAGCTTTTATATTAAAAATCATTCCAAAACTCATGTTATTGTAGCCATTTGCAAAAAAAAATGAGTGCATCGAATGAGGATCGAGATACGGAATCCAATGAGGTAAAATTTGTTCGTTTTTGTTCTTTAAATCGCGAAAACGCGACCCACGACCAATTTAGACGCCGAAAAATACGTTTCACGGCCAAACTGGGCGCAAAAAAGCTCGATTCACGCCCAGTTTGGGTGCGCAAAAGTATTTCCCACGTGTTGCAACAAGGTATCAAACCCGGGTTGTTGCAGTGGAAACACGTGACTAACCAAGTAGGCTACTGCCAAAAAGCGACCCATGACCAATTTGGACGCCGAAAAATACGTTTCACGCCCAAACTGGGCGCAAAAAAGCTCGATTCACGCCCAGTTTGGGTGCGGAAAAGTACTTCCCGTGTGCTGCAACAAGGTATCAAACCCGGGTTGTTGCAGTGGAAACACGTGACTAACCAAGTAGGCTACCGCCATTTTGATAACAAACTCTTATTTAAATATAATTATTTATTTCATTATACTGGGCAAAAAATTAATATTTCATTACACGGGCAAAAAATTAATAAATACGCGTGGCTACAAAGACTCAAACACGGGCTTATTGTTTGTTAGACAAAAGGGCTGACTAACTAGGCTACAACATGTTTGTTATCTAATACTTATTTAAATATAATTATTCATTTCAGCTATACTGGGCAAAAAAAAAATTGAACCGGACTACCGGTCCTGAACCAACGTCTGAACCGAACGCCTGAATTAATTTTTCACGCCCATTTTGCGCGTGGGAAAGCTGTTTCCACGCCTAAACTATGCGTGGTAACAGCTTTCCCACACCCATTTTGGGCGTGGAAAATTCGAAAACCCAACACTAAAAATAGCCATAAATCGCGATATTCAGGGTATTTTCACATGATTAACCACAAATTCAATATATATAACAACTTTAGATGATTAATTACCTTTCAAATTGATAGGGTTTGGGTGGAATTGAAGATTTTTAGAGAGAGAAAGAGAAGACTATTGTGAACGACATTCGTAATTTTGCTGCCGCGTAAATCATTTCAGTTGCAAGAAAAGGGATATATATTAAATGGCGAATTCATGATATGTAAATATAAAGTTTTGAAACACCCTCTCAATCTCGCAGTCGTGCAAATATGATTGGGTACGAGTTCTGTACAAATTAAAGAAAAATATTCGTATCTAGCGACACTTAAAATTTAGTAAACAAATTTATGCTAAATAGCGGGCCGAACCAAAGTATTCGAGTTAATACTCAGAAGATCTAAATTGGTTACGGGTTCTTTACAAATTAAAGAATATATCGTATCTGAAAACTCTAAAGCGACACTTAATATAGTAAATAAATTTATGTTAAATAGCGGGCCGAACCAAAGTATTCGAGTTAATACATAGAATATCTAATATAGTAAATAAATTTATGTTAAATAGCGGGCCGAACCGAAGTATTCGAGTTAATACTTAGAAGATCTAAATTTTGCTATTATTCTCGTCGTAGTATATTTTTGTAAACATTGCGAGCCCTAGTAAAATTTATTTTTATTTTCTCAAATATTTTTGTAAGCTTTGCTATTAGGTGTGAGATTTAGTTAATAAATGACTATTAAATATTTGATTAATGAAGTTAGGGATTTGTAGGTAGAAATAAATTGTGTCTCGTTGGAGTTAATTATACTCTAATAGCATGTTGGGACACTGGGCTGGGCTTTCTTTTCTTGATACACTTCGGCCATATATATTGGGCTTTGACCAAAACAATTTTTTTTTTCTTTTTTATAATTTATTTATCAGGAAGTAAGATATGAAAAAAAATTACTTAGAAATTACTAATTTTCAAATATGAAATAAATTTAATTGTTCAATATTCAAACATTTCTTTGACATTCAACACAATTAATGAATTAAATACAATAGAACATCTACTCAATTTGTTGGCCGCCAACTCCATCCTATTTATCCGTTGACTTTTGAAGTCTAATTTGAAAATTGATTCTAAATGATTTAAATTCCTGCCTGCATTACATTAACATACCTAGTCAACAAATTTATTACCTACCACTAGTTGATTTCATCAAATTCATGTCCCAAAAGTAAATCAAGTAGTCAAGTCAATTGTTGGTGCAATTAGTTCTTAAAAAAAACAAAATATAGAAAAAAATTTACCCATTCACATATGTCATCATGTACCGAACACAAAATATGTTAAAAACGAGAAAACATTTTGAAGTTGAAGTTTACGTGCTACATAAACTAGACCACACTTGCATGCACAAATACTGAAGTTAAACGGGTAATTATAAGTAAAGAGCCCATCGTTTGGCTAAGACGTTAATTAACCACTCTACGTTTCGGCCTAATTCGACTTATTTATTTAATATTATGAATATATGAAGATAATTTAAAAAATGAGTGATAGGCCGACCATGTACACTTAAACATGGTCCTTGCCATTTTCTCATCGATGTTAATAATAGACAATGCCACATGGTCCTTTAATTCTAGATATTAATCCACCAAAAATAAATATAATTGTCACAAAAAAGAATATATACTAATCCAACAAAAAAATCTTGCATAGCATAGGGTGCTACATAATAACCAATTATTCTACACTATTTATATAATATTTATTCAACGTGGTATTACAGCCAGATCGGATGAGATTTCTTGATTTAGAATCCCGCCGCGAAGGGTCCTTTTAGTAACATTGCTTAAAAGGTTATAAGGCAAAATACTCCACCAACCTTCAATGGAGATGTGTCACCAAATTAGGGCTCTTATAAATTTGAATATATTATGAAAGTCAAGTCACCGTGAACATTTCCTCGTAAAAAAAGGGGGTCAATTTGCTAAAAGCGCAAAGAATTTTATTTTATATTAAGTCAATCACATTTTAATTAGTCTAACTTTTAGTTGCATTGAAGGTTAATTGGCCAAAACTAACTGTGTTCACAATTTAATTATTAAATTAATTCAAACGCGTGTGCACAAATTTGGTTGGTAGATGAATTGGACTTGTAGCAGAAAAGAAATAAAGATTAAAAGTAAATTACCTCTTAAAGTATAGTTAAATTACTAAAAAAAAAACTCATTTTGTTTAGATAATTACAGTCACCATCTTCTTTTAAAATCTTATACATAAAATTTATATAATTTGGTTATTTACCGAACTAAATTGTATATTTATTTCGGTAAATGGTATAAAATGTTGGCGTACCGAAATTTCTAATCGATTTTACCGATTTAGCATCCTTAAAATTATCTCTTGATGATGGATTTTTTCGTAAGATAATACTTAATCGAGAGGTGGCTGTAATTATCCAAACATGAAAGGTTATCGTAATTTAACCATAACTCAAGTGGTGCATGTAATTGGCCCAAATTAAAAACTAATTATAGTATTGTTTCCATATCGAAATAATTTTGAGATTTGACAAAAATTTCCATGCAAAAGATACTGAAGATAATGTGGAAAGAATAATCATATCTAATATGGAAAGAATAATCATAGCCAATTTTGAAAAAAATATAATTTCGTTGTTTAATTTTTGAAATCGGTGATAAATTTCATAAAAAAAATAAAAAAGAAAAACAAAAATCGGTGATTAATAATAATATTTCCAATTTTAATCCTTATTAATTATTATTTGTAATAATAAACAATTGGTATAAAAAATAGAAAAGAAGTCCAGGTGGATGCCAACTAAGTACCAGACCGCAGAAGCCGTCCCCGTTCAACTTTTCACACGCATAATTCTCTCTTTCTCTCTCCTCTCTCTCTCTCTTAAAAACTGTAAAACTCGAAAAACACGCATTCGACATTTGTAAATTGTAAGCATTCTCAAAAAGCAGCAACCTAATCCAGTTAACGTGCCTATTTGTTTGTTCTCCTTTAAAAACCCTAATCCTCCATTTCCATTTTTGGAGAAACACAGAGAATGGGGATACAGAACGGAATCGCCAATGGAAATGTACTGGAGGATCTGTTAGAGAAGGCCGGCGGTTGCGCCGTCGTCGACGGCGGTTTCGCCACCCAGCTGGAGAGGCACGGCGCTCTCATTAATGATCCTCTTTGGAGCGCACTTTGCCTTATCAAAGATCCTCATCTAATCACAAAGGTATATATATATTTCTATTTATATGTACATTTCGACTTTTTAATTTTTTTATATATTTAAAAAAAAAAATGGAATTATTTTGGTGCAGGTTCATTTGGAGTATTTGGAAGCTGGTGCAGATGTTATAGTAACCTCCTCATATCAGGTTTGCAAATTATTATTTTATATTTAATCTGTTTATTTGTTTTTATCTGGATTTTTTTTTTTTTTTTGTTTTATTCAGTAGACTATGATTTTACAGTTTGTCGGTTTTGTGATTACTTTTGTGAATTTTAATTAAAAAAAATTAGTAGTGGGAATAAGATTTTCTGAAATTTCATTTATGTTTTTTATTTTAATTTAATTTTTTTTTTGGTGAATAATTAGGCAACTATACCAGGATTTCTATCAAGGGGATTATCCATGGAAGAAGCAGAATCATTGCTCACAAAAAGTGTACAAATTGCAGCAGAAGCCCGTGATAAATTTTGGGCCTCGGTAAAATGGAAGCCCGAAAATAATCACAACAGAGCTCTCATTGCTGCCTCCATTGGGAGCTACGGCGCATATCTCGCCGATGGATCGGAGTACAGGTCTGTAAAAATGTCTAGATAGATAGCCGTTTAAATCTAAAATTGGAACGAAATTTCCGAATTTTGGAACAATATTTTTTATTCCGAATTCTGAAAATTCCGATTCTCAATTTTTTTCTGAGTTTGGAATTGGAATATCTACAAGGGATTCTGATTTCCAATCCAAAAATTTTCCTTGTTCGGAACAATATTTCATTCCGAATTTCGAAAATTCCGATTTTACATTTTAGCCTACTCAAATTTGGAATTTCCGAAATCGCGCCGATTTTCGATTCTGGAACAAATTTTTTCGTTCCAATTTCGGAAATTCCGATTTCGGAATTTTTGGGAATGAATTTGTAATTAGTTTTTCACTTTCGAAATTGCTAATTCTGATTCAATATGTCCGATTTCCACTCCTACATTTAACTGATTCCTGTGGGCCCCCTTTTTTAAATTTTCAGCGGCAACTACGGTCCAACCGTAACACTGGAAAAATTGAAAGATTTTCACCGGCACAGGCTGCAAGTTCTCGTTCAAGCGGGGCCCGATTTGCTTGCTTTCGAGACCATTCCTAACAAACTAGAGGCTCAGGTATATATGTTAATGAAATAAGCAAATTTTTAATATTTAATGTTAAAAAACTAGTATTTCCTATTAAAAAAATTAAAAAAATGATTTTCGACAGGCGTGTGTGGAGTTACTGGAGGAAGAAAAAGTGGATATTCCGTCATGGATCTGTTTCAGTTCGGTGGATGGCGCAAATGCTCCGTCGGGAGAAAGCTTTGAGGATTGCCTTCGAGTTATCAATAAGAGCACTAGGGTTTGTGCTGTTGGAATTAACTGCGCTCCACCTCATTTTGTGCTTAGCCTAATACAGAAATTCAAAGAGGTATATATATCTATATAGATTAAAAGTGAATTTAATTATTATCTTTTTACCAATTTTATTAAATTGAAATTGAAAATGAAAATATATCTGCAGTTGACTGGAAAGGCCATTGTTGTGTATCCTAACAGTGGTGAGATATGGGATGGGATTGCTAAAAGATGGCTGGTTAGTATATTTTTGTTTTGTTTTGTTTTTCAACTATTTTGAGAAAATAAAAAAATTGGAAAATTTAAATTTTGACCTAATTGTGAATTTTTTTAATTTTTTTATGCAGCCATCGAAATGTTTCGATGATGAGAAATTTGAGTTGTTTGCGGCAAAATGGAGAGATGCCGGAGCTAAACTAATCGGCGGTTGCTGTCGGACAACTCCATCTACCGTTCGAAGGGTTTCTCGAGTTCTCAAGGAGAAGAAATGATTTACATAAACTAGGCTTAGTAAACATTATTGCAATTCAATGTTTTATTGTTGGCTTTTGTATTATTTATTTACTCATAAATTTACCCATTTTTGTTGTCCTATATATAGATACATTTCAATTGTTACTTCTAATGTTATTTAATTATTCTTAAAAAAATATACAAAAATAAATACTATTGGAAACCAAGCGAGAATCAACCTCAATTAGCAATACATAAAGCCTATCGAACGAGATCTAGTTGTATTACAACACACATTCCACACTCACTCTTTGCATTCTAATCCTTCAACTCTACCATACTCGACCAATTCGAGGGATCGATTCAAACATTACAAACGGCGGTTCACTAACCATAGTTCCCAATAAGGATCAACGTCTTGGAGGTGGGCCCAGCTTATCATACGTACCCCAAGGCCCGGCCCCATACACATCACCATACGGCCCCGGATATCTCGTTTCCGGGCTTCCATCCATCATCCCATATCCTCTAGCACCTGCGTAATTAAATGTCATATATATATATATATATATATATATATATGCATGCTTTTGTTCCGTTTATTTATGAGAAAGAATTTAGTACCGATTGCCCTCCGGTCGGCACTCGCTTGCTCAGCACGTAACTGCTCTATTTCACGAGCCATTGAGATAAGGTTTTTCTCCATTGCTCGATTTTGCTCCACCAACTCTTCGTTTCCTTTCTTCTCATACTCAAATATTCTCCTAAATAAAACACACACGCAACATTTGAACACTTCAACGACAAATAAAAACATTCGAATCATCTCAAAGCATTCTATTATACACGATATTTCTTTTTTACTCCAAATATATAATCACATGCTCAATCACTAATCACTATCACTGTATTTATCAAGTCCAATCACAATCGCCAAACGAGACCTAAATAAGTAAGTAAGCAAATTCAAATTCATATACCTGGCATCAACGACGTCTTTCCGCATCTTATCGATATCGCTCTTCATCGAAGCCACTTTCTTATTCTCCGTTTGCAATTTGCCGACATCCTTTTCGAGATTCTGAACCTGTGCGGACAAATCCTGCCTTTGAGAGCTCGATTTCTTGGCTTCGTCTCTCAGCTGAACAACTTCTTTCCTAAGCGGCTCGGCTGATCGGAGCTGAGCCTCTAAGCTGAGCCCTCTCTCGACCAGCTCCCTCCTGTGGGTCCCACTCTCGCCCTGCAGTTTAGGAATAACGGATTGATTTAATCTGTGGATCTCGTCTTTGACAGCTGCCAGGTCGCGTTGGAGCATTACGTTGTCGTCCACCACTCGCCTGTTTTCGGAAAGGAGTCGTTGGATGTCTCTCTGTTGGAGATCGAGTTCTTCTTCAAGATGGGCGGGGTGGGGGTGGGGGAGGGGCGGTGGCCCCCGGAGCATGAACGAGCGTGGATCTTCGTGGGCCCCGCGGTAGCTGATGGGGTAACGTGGCATCATTAATTAGGGAGCCCCTGCGTAAGACGCCATAAATTAACGTAAACTACTTTCTCGATGCATTTGCATGATGAATTTCGCCTCACCTCTCGACTTTAATATACGAAAAATTACTAAAAATGCCACTTTAAGAAGCTTCCTTTCCGGCAGGATTACAGAATCACTCATTCACATACATTATGTTATCTCAATCAGTGGGATGAAAAAGCACAAAGGAAATACAAAAAATAAATAAAATTAAATCGACAGTTTATTAAATAATTACAGAATAACCCATTTTGGATCCCATTCAAGAGTGAAATTTACTATCTCTTCCAAATTAATTTTAGAATGTTAATTAATAAATTAATAAATTAGTGATTTTCAGGCATACACAAATCACACCCAAAGCCTCGATTTTTTTTTTTGCTGGGCAATCGATCATCAAAATGAATAAATAAATTATAAAAAAAATCCCAGAATTAATTAATGCACGAATTACCCAGGAGGAAGAATAGCAGCATCGATAAAGAAAAAAAAAACGCAGGCGCACACACAAACATGGGTTTTGTAAGACAATAAATTCACAAATAGAAAATAAAAAACATGAGATTAAATTTTACATACAATTAAGCCAAGATTTTCCAGCATAAACAAATAGTTGATGAAATTAGTATACCTGTGAATTTGAGGGAGGTTTTCAAAGATGAATTTCTGATTCTTCGAAGAAATAATTTTTCTTTCTTCGTTTGTTTGCAAGATTGGTACGACTGAGCTAACAAGAAATGGGCCCGAAGTACTTATGAAATTGCTTTCGGGCCAAGATGATTTAATGATATGGGCTTGGACCTAAGTATCCAAATTCAAAATTTTCAGCCCGTCTGAGAAAAAAATAGAGTTTTTTATTTTTATTTTCGAAATTCTTTTTTTATTAATTTTTTTTTCTTCAAAAATATTCGGAACATAATTGGAAATTTAATTTGAAAAAAAATAATTTTTTATTTTATTTTTCCAAATGTACTAATTCTGATATAATCGGTCCGATTTTTCACCGTTAATTGGAACTATAGAAATTAACACACATTTATAAGAAATTGGCTAAATGACTAAATTTTATAAATATTGAGTGCACAAACCTGATTGAAAAGTTTTGGAAATATTCATCTAGTTGAAATGGTGGCTCGAAAACGATGGCCGACATATTTATTTATTTATTTATTTAATTCAAGAAAATAAAATTATTTTTCGAAACTGGACTAATTGGCATGTATTTTGTCCACCGTATCACAGTGTAAGATCCTGATTTCTACGTTTTGGTGTTTGTATTCTTCTTCAATTATGCGCTACTAAACTTTATCTCAATTTTTTTATAATTGTTATTTCGATTTGTAGATGTGTGCATAATTATTTAAATATTAATGTAAGTATATTGAAAACCCAAACATCAGTTTTGGTTGGAACAATAGTACAGGACCACTCTCATCCAGAAACTACTAATGCTTTATGGGCAATATGTCAATTGTAATTTTGTCATGATGTATATTTTTTCTCCTCTGGAATGTGCACTGGATATACACTCTCGTATAATAGTTTGCGAAGTATAAGAGACGTAAATCAAACTAGGTTGACCATGTACGATAAACTCGTCCTAGTGAACTTTGAAAGAAAATTCGAACTTCGGTCAGTTGACGCAAGTTCACTTATTTCAACCGCTAGGCCATCCCTTACGGGTTTAATCTATTACTCTTAATACACAATAGTAGCTTGTATCTTAAGTCTTATTAATAATGAAAAAGGTAATTAGTGACACTAGAAGGATAAAAGATTGCCAAATCAATCAGCGGAATAATTTCGTAATTTCTTCCATGGATAAATTTCAATTTTAGTAATAATGAAATTGAATTATAGAGGACCAAACCAAAGTATTATGAAAAAGAAAATCCGACCAGAAAGGTCGATTTCAAGAGAGAATGACATGCATCGAGGAGAAATATAGAACGGTAAATAACACTTAACTCCCTTGTGGTTTGAACTTTTTGCACACCGGTCCTTTTTATCTTTCAATATGAGCACATTATCCTCTTGTACTTTTAATTTAAACACATTAATATGCACATTAGAAAGAAATATTTTCTGAAAGTACAAGGGGTACAAGTGCAAAATTGTCAAACTAAAGGGGGTTAAATGCTATTTACCGAATATATTATAAGATTGGATCAAATGTCTATTTCCCATCTTTAGTTGTTGCCCCACCGGAAATCCCATAATCAGACATGCAGCCAATCAGCAGCCAGAGATTTGGATTAGTCTTCTGTATTAGCCAATAGGAGACTTGTTAAAGGCCTACTGTGGGTCCCAGTAGCAACTCTGCCCCTTCGTTTCTCTGTTTGAAATGGTATGGGCAAGTTTTGTTTACTTTTTTCTTATTATTTGAGTTCTAAAAAATATTTATTTTCTGCCTTTTCAAATATTAATTGTGACTTTTTTCAACCAATTTAATATCTTTTCTATTATTAAAAAAAAGTTAGGCCAGAAAATATATAAATATTTTTTATATTTTATATAAACACCATAGAAACATAAAATAGTTTTTATATTTATTAACTCATCTTTTTTTTTTTTTTAATTTATGGCCATCACAATAATTATTTCTTATATGAATTAATTTAAATTTTAGAAAAAAGTTCAACTGCAAATATTCAAACTTTTGTAACAACAAAAATAAGTATATATATATTTTTTGTTGAGCATTTAAAGAATGGAAATAAATATTTAATTTCAATCACAAAAATAAAAAATAAAAATATATTAATTAATATTATTGTGGGGCCCACACCAACTGAAATAATTGCACTCACTGAGTTTTCAACTCTACATACACACGATGAAACCCTTTTCCAGTTTTTGAAACACAAACTAAACTTCTTTCTTCTTCCTTCTTCTTCTCGTATACATCACATAACACAAGCAAACAACAATGGATTCCGACAGAAAATTATCCGACACGATTGTCGGAAAATCAGCCAGAGCTTGCGACAGCTGTATCAAGAAACGCGCCCGCTGGTACTGCGCCGCCGACGACGCCTTCTTGTGCCAATCGTGCGACTCTTCAGTCCACTCAGCAAACTCTCTTGCTCGCCGCCATGAAAGGGTTCTTCTCAAATCTGCATCAATCCACAAGATTAAATCTGAGCCGTCCAATTGGCATCAGGGTTTCACCAGAAAAGCAAGAACACCCCGCCACAAAAAGAATGGCAAAGCAGCTGCAGCACTCTTTTCGAATACTAACCACCCTCTTCCTCTCGTGCCTGAGATTAATAATTCCAGTGAAGAAAAATCAAACGAAGAAGAAAACGAGGAGCAGCTTCTTTATCGGGTTCCGATTTTCGAACCCGTGTCTGATTTTATTACACACGAAGCAAACACTTCAGAAAGGAATATTCTTGCTCCGCCTTCGTCGTCGGGAATGGATCTTGATGAGTTTGCGGAGTGCTTACTTGGAAAAGGGATGGACGATTTTCATGAATCTTTTAATAATATGGAAGGATTAGGTTTTCTCGATGATTGCGACGACGAAAATGGCGGGAGAGGATTGTCTTCGAACGAGTTATTTTGGCTAAGCGACGAGAGTGTGAAGGTCGAAGAAAATCATCATCAAATTGAGGTTGAATTTGATATGGGGAGGGAAACTTTTGAGCTGAATTTCGACTTCGATTACTCTCCCACTAGGGGCGAAGAACAAGAACAAGAAGAAGAAGAAATAGCCGCGTTTAATAATTTTGAGAATTTCGCGATGGAGAATTACGAAAAGACCCTTTTGAAGCTAGATTACGGTGGCGTGATGTCAGCTTGGGACAAACACAAGTCTCCGTGGACCACCGGAGAACGGCCGCCGGAGCCTATTTCCGGTTGCCACTGGCCTGAATTCTCGGTACGTACTCATGTCTCTTGTTCTAAACTTGGATATTTAGGGTTGACAATTAATTAATTATGATTAATTACATTATTATATGTATAATGAATATTATTCTTGAAATTTTAGGGCGCATGTGGAACTATGGGTGTGAACGGAGAAACCGGGAAGATAAATGAGAATATTCCGGCAGCGGCCACAGGAGACGGAGGAAGAGAAGCTAGGGTTTCTAGGTATAGAGAGAAGAGGCGAAAGAGATTATTTTCGAAGAAAATAAGGTACGAGGTTCGGAAACTGAATGCCGAAAAGAGACCTAGAATGAAAGGTAGGTTCGTTAAGAGAGCTAATCTTGAGGCACCTGCGTTTTCGTTACTCAATACATAGGTCACATGTTATATATCTACATAATGTGTGTATGTATTATATATGTATGTACATTGGGTGTAGATATATAAATATAGTATTTGGTGTAAATAAATGAGTAAAAATCAGTTAATGTACATATATATATTGATTACATTTGGTGTAACATGAAAATTGACATTGCAAAAAAGTGCCCCTAATTTCATTTCAAGCAATACCAATTATATGAGTTTAAACCACAAGGCTTTCAAGTTGGACTATTTTCCTTACAAAAGTGGATATTAATTCGTTCTTTGGGCAATAATTTATATTGAGAAATATATTAAACTTTATTGTTTTAAAATTAACTATATATATTTTCATTATTCGAACAAAATTTAAAAATTATAACCCTAAAACTTAGTGGATGATGATAGGCTGATAGCAGCTTGACTTGAAGGGATTAGTAAGTAGGAAATATTCAAGTATGGTTTTAAAAATAAATAAAGAAATTAAATAAAATGAGTGTAAGAGAAAGGCTACTAAAGTATGAGAGTGGGGCCCTGCAATTAAATTAAAAAATTGTCATTTTGTCAACATTGACATAAACTTAAGTGGTCCATTTTGCTAAGCCGTTTTCAAGTGAAAGGATAACTAACACAAACAACAACCTACGACCCCATCACACCACACTTACAATCACTCATCTGTTTCACTAACTCTCAGCTGGTTCTGAAATCATAAGTTGGTATGAGATCTTAAAATCGAGTATCTGGCGGCTGTCGATATAGTGTGGAAATTTCAACTTTAATAAAGGTTGTATTCTTGTAGGTACCAGATCCAAATACTACTCTAATGGACCGTTTAATCACTATAATTTACATTCATCCATAAAAAAATTTATGAAAACAGAGGATTGGACCCTGGGACCGTTTAATTCATCTATTTTACTGAATAAATTTAACTGATTTTTTTAAATTTTTTTGACATTTAAAGCATTTAAAATCAACTATCACATCAAATCGATTTTTAATGATTTATCCATGTAAAAGATGAGTTTAATGTTATCTACGTGGGCTAGGCCACACCCACGTCACTTTATGGGCTACTTTGATCTTTTAACTTCTCTTGGGCCTCTCTGGTATTTAGCCTTTCTTGGACTTTTTTCATATGAGCCCTATCCTACTCATTAAAATTTTGAAATTTCTGAATTTAAATTGTTCAATCTATGGGAAAAGTTTTTCACAAAATTCGTCACAATATCCGTGACTTCGAATTGTAAATCATCATTTTCGTTAGAAATGGTCACATATTTATCACTAACTCCGTCACTCATTGTGACAGATTTGGTATGTAACAAATATTCTGTCACAAAAGCCCTGTTTTTCAGTAGTGTAAGAAACTATAGTAACTAACTCACTCAGATGCATGATAACAACTCAACATTCATAGAATTGAAGATATATTACGGTAAAGCCTATTACTTCCAGACGAAGAACTTCATCACATCATCCCATTAAACAAAATGTTTAATTTATTTGGAGATATCGGAAGAAACTAAAACGTTGTCGGTTTTTTTTCCTTAAAAAAATACTCATTGTAGTCCTTAAGTTATAACATAGACTAAAGACTAAACCTATCCAAAAAATTGTACTATTTCTAAATGTTCAAAGATGCTTTTCATACATGTTATAGTCCGTGATAGAGGGGTTAATTAGTAGTTGATTAATTAGATTAATGCAAATTAGTAGAATAATTTAATCTTGGCGTGTGGATGGGCACACAAGCTAGGTCCCACCAATTTGGTACTACCACTTAGAAAGATGGATAAATATAGTATTTTATGTACGGTCTATTAAAAAGTTGCAATTACAAAATAAAACAATAATAATAATCATTATTATAATAATAAGAAAAGGGTTATTTATGGATAGCAAATTTTCAGTATATTCTGATTTGACCTGGAATCTCTAATTATAGTAGTCCTCTGAAAGCACTTGGAAGGTAACCCTAGATTCATGAATATTCTGATCTCTTTAGATTTCTCTGTATATAATATACACACACTTGACACTGTTGTACAGATTCATTGAATCGCCACGTATTGTAACTGACACATAATATTAATAAATTGGCCAGGAAGTATATTGGATTAAAAAATAAATAAAAACTAATCAGTAGTTAAATGGAAATGATTATCTAATTTGGAGGTGTAACCTTTTGCGGCTACTTGCTAGCGTTCATTTTTTCTAAGTTGACACAACAACCATTATATATATATATATATATATATATATATGCAATTAATTAATTTATATTAGACCTAATTCATGGCTCAGTGGGATGAATAGTCATTGGTAGGAGTGTAAATAAGGAGAGCTCGTCACAACTTGTGAGCTCGAGCTCAAGCTCATCGAGCTTTTATTTGATGAGCTATTCGAGCTCCAGCTCAAGTCGAGCCGAACATGTTGAGTTCGAGCTAAGCTCATCTTATATTTTTTGTATTTTTTTTATAATTTTTACATAATATTAATTTTAGTTTTATTATAAATTATTTAAAACATTAATCTGTAACTTTTTTTAATATATAAGTATATAGTAGTAATTTTATATTAAAAAAAAAAAGTTATATATATATGTGAAGCGGCTTGTGAGCTTATGAACAACTAAAGATGGGCTCGAGCTCGAGCTTTTGTCGAGTCAGCTCATCGAACTCATGAGTCGGCTCAGTTCATTTGCAACCTTAGTCGTGGGTAGAAGATTAATCGTTAAGTTAACTAATAATTATTAGATTCATTATTGTAGCCAATAAAACTAGATTTAATTTGAAGTATTCAGACAACGATGACTTTAACTAGTATTTAACGATATGTGGCAACCTGCAGCTGATATAAATATTTATATCAATTGATTCTTTTCTATTTAAAATAGAAAAGAATCTTGATTCGTTCAATTGATATATAATGTGATTTCTTTGCGAAAAAGTCGTCACTCGTGACGTCATCAATCAAAATAGTAAAATCATATATAAATCGAAACGATTTCTTAAACCCAACTACATGATTAATTAAGAAGGAAAAAGAACCCCTTATCCAATGGTTTTGGCGGGATTAATTAATTGTGTCAAGTTGTGCTGGGATTATGGAAATATATTGTGACAATAATTAAGCAATAATTAACATAGTATTTTAACTTTAATTGGTCCCAGTCAAAAATGTCATTTCGGATTAAAATAATAATGCAAATTCCCTTTCATGACGGGAGTAACTAGTTATTTATGCGACGAACTAACAACGTCTATGGTATTTTACTATTTTTTTTCCCTTTAGAACACATCAAAATGTCAACTTTATTTATCTCAATTAAATTAATTGCAAAAAATAGTGATTAAGGGGTAATTAATTAATTAATTAATTAAGAGAGTCGATGTGGCCGAGACATCCCCCGGGGCTGATGCATGAATGGCAGCTGTCTGAAAAAACCGTGTGCAACTTCTTTTACCACGTTCATTAATTTCATCCTTTTTTCTTACCAAACACTTTCTTGCAACCATCGCCTTTCTGGATTTTGCCATCATTTATGAACCCTTCATCACTTTCGTTTCATTTAATCACACATTGAGAGAGAGAGAGAGAGAGAGAGAGAGAGGTGACCAAACAATTTGGAATAATAAAAAAAACTATTAGAATAAGAAAATTAGATGCTACATCTGATCATTTACACTGGGTGGTAGATTTGAACCGTTAATCAACATATAATCACACATCTATGTGTACATGTGCTTAATGAATAATTACTTAATCAAATATACGGTTCAAAATCCACTCAATGTAAATAACTAGCTGTAGCATCTAACTCTCAGATAAAGACACACATCAAATAAACGGGAGAGGAGATTGAAATATTATTATAAAGCAAAATAACAAGTTGGCAACATTTTATTATATGTCAAATGGTCTTGATTCCATTGAAATTTACACAGGCCTACAAACCCTAGAAACCATTAATTGCAGAACAAAAAGGATAAAAGAAAAGAAATAAAAAAAGAAAACCCTATTTAAAATCTGCAATGACTTCGATAAAAGGTCTGCAATACTAAAATCTTTCTATTTTTTAATAATAAATATCTCTTGAAATTATGACTGGCTCCTCCAAAATTGGATTTAAATTTCTGCAATTTAATTTGTCACGCTTCGCTATCAGAAATAAGCGTGCAGCACTGGATCACGGCCCAGGGTCAACTCCAGCCCGATCTCATGGTCAGGTTCCTGTTTGAGGACGCACCGAACCGGCTGTTCAACCCGGTTCATCAAACTCGGCTCGACTGTTTCAACAGAGACCGAGTCATGACTCGGTGCCCTTTTCAGCTGCTCAATGAAATCTTTCTGATCTTCTTCTTCTTCTTCACCGTGCTCCCATCCTGTGATGGTGAACTTATCTTCTGGCTCGATTAGATCAAAATCGGCGACGAGGGAGTTAACCTGGTTTTTCGCCTGAGAGGCGGAGCGCTTGAAGCGGTTCCGGGTCCTGACACGGTGGAGGGAGGCGGCGGCGGTGGAGGAGTCCTTGGATAGGTGGCGGATGTCGCAGCTCTGAAGTGGTGAGATCGGGTACTCCTCGCCGGCCCGAGCGGCGGCGGCGGTAGAAGAAGAATCATCATGCTTCATAATCGGAGCGCCTCTCAAAACCGCCTCCACCGCCGCCTGGCATCGCGGCCAATTGCCGGAGCACATCATTCCGACCGACCCGTACACCGGGTCGATTATTCTTCCACAGGCTTCATACAGAAGTGACCTGAAAATTTCTGTGTTGACCAAAAACACACACACACATTTGCATGTCAGTACTTCACCAATTAAATCGTGTATAAGTGGTTTATATATATATGCAGTAGTTGTGCGTGACGTACCAGGGCGGAGATCGGCGGCGCCGGCATTGATGAGGTTGACGAGACCTGCTCGGCCGTAGAATTTGGCAAGAAAGAGGGTGGCGTTGGCTTGTGATTCAGGTGATTTAATCCATTCGAGACAAGGCCTGAGTGTGCAGTCTTCACTGCACCCTTTGCGGAGAACTCTGCACCCATTGCAGCTCATTCTCATTTCTAGAGAGAGAAACAGGAGAGAGAAACAAGAGAGAGAAAGAAGAGAGAGAGAGGAATCTAAAATGTAATGAAATAAAGGGATGGCGGTATATATATATGTGCAGGGAATGGGGACACATTCTATGTTGGTGTAAAGGAGAAAGAAACTCCTACGTGTAAGCTTGCTAGGGCTGACTATTGAACCCGAATATTAAAATAATTTATGTGCATTATATTACTAATTTTATTTATAATTAATTAAACTTTTAAGTTCTTTGACATACAAAATAATTAATATTTTATTATTATTATTTTAAAATTACTAATATACATTACGGTTTATTATATATATATAAATTAATGGTTTAAGAACCTGTTCCGGATAAATTTGAATTTGCATAAACTATATTCATTTTGTTATTATATTGTTACTTAAAATCTTGTTCATAAATAATAAAAGCATAAATAGAAATATACAATAAATTAAATTTGTCAAACCAATTATATAACAAGAGAACCGAGTCAATGAAGATTGTCAATTTCTAGAACATTGTTTTTTATTTCATTAAATCAAATTTATATGTAGTACAGTTTAGCAAGTATCAATCATCAAGCTTGTACTACACACACAAAATATATCCATATATATAAAAAAAAAAGTTTGAATTAGTTTTTATTACTTTAAATAATATGGACTTTCTTGACCTGATTTAATTTCAGCATAGGTATTATTAATATTATGGCTTATGAGATTCCATGCATCCAGAAAATAGGGTAGGGATAAAGAGGCGCGTGGCAAGCACGTGAAAGAGAACAGCACCGTACCCACCATGCGGCTCACCACATACCGTCACGGAAAGCAACACCACCCCTGCTTCACGGCGGTGGGCCCCCATACTCCGCCAGCTCCCTCCCGGTTTCCGGGAATCTTCCTTTCCACAAAATGTACCGAAAGGAGAAAAACGAATGAGAAAAAAGGAGCTAATATATAATTAAACTGGGAAAAAAAGATAGTAGAAAATAAAAAACCAGTTGATTAATGTTTTTAGTTGAAAGGGGGAATAACCTAATAAAGTTTTCCTGCCGGTTTTTGCATGATGTATTAGTATTACTGTGGGCGCTCTTTTAGTTGAGCCAACGGTTTTCTTCCTCCAAACATTGTTGAAGAGATATATAGTTAATGAGATTAAATTCTAAGTGAATGAACTAATATTTAATATAAATCACTTTTAATAAATCACGCTGATTATAATTGGGACTAGAGGAGTTACGGGTTACGAGGGTCTTTTTCTTTTCCTTTTTTTTCTTTCAATTATTAGAATCCTAGTTATATTTTTATTTAAAATATCCACGCGTCAATCATTCTATACCATCCGATTTTCCTATTAAACCGGCCATCCTGTCAAAATTTGCACCCATATTTAATTTATCAAATCTTTGGATATATATATATATATATATATATATATATATGATATGCCTAATTGGCGCAACCCAATGGGCCTACAAATTATTTACTTACTGAGTCACGAGCCTAATATCGAAGACCACTATCACCGAGGTCCAATCACCTTCAAGCAAGGTTTGAGCCCGACAATCTCAACTAAGCTATAAATACACATTTGAACTCATTCCATAAGGTACGTCCTATTAATTGAGCAATACTATCAACTGTATTCTCTGGACTATTTCTATGATCAGCACGTCTGACTTGAGCGTCGGAGGGGTTTTCGCCGGATCAACCCCCGGCTTAGTTCATGTGTTCTATGATCGCAGGTACCTCAGGAGCATCAAGTTATCAAGCTACTGATCCGCTTTGCTCTCCCAGTTCATTTTCTATACTACCCTAGGTGATCTAAACTTTAGCATCATCATTTTGGCGCTGTCTGTGGGAACAATGCAAACCAGATCACGTAGCCAACAAGATCCTCCTGAGGCGTCTGCTCCGAGAGAAAGTAACACAGCTAACGACCTCCCACCTCGTGGAGGCTCTGGCTTGCCACCTCCTCCACGTCCCATGAACCGCTTCGCGAGGTTCAGGTGATCCCCCCTCTGGACCAACCACTCGCCGATCCACCACTCCCTGCTCCTCGAATGGTTCAAGTAACCGAGGATGCGCTTCAACGCAGGATAGCACAAGTTTCAACTCGGGCTGCCACAGAGGCAGTGACCCAATATATCGCCACGATGGGAGCAAATGCTCACAACGCGATACCAACACCTGCTCCACATGTGGAGCCACCTATGGCACCACCGCCATCGACTCCCTGGGGGCTTACATCTGCCCCCAAAATATTTCGCTCGCCAAGGGTTATCGACTCCCTTGGGGCTTATATCTACCCCCAAAATATTTCGCTCGCCAAGGGTTATCGACTCCCTGGGAGCTTACATCTGGCCCCAAAATATTTCGCTCACCATGGGTAATCGACTCCCTGGGGGCTTACCTCTGCCACCAAAATATCTCGTTCGCCAAGGGTTATCGACTCCCTTAGGGTTTATAGTGCCCCCAAGATATTTTGCTCGCCATGGGTCATCGACTCTCTGGGGGCCTACTTCCGTCCCCCCTCGAATGGTTCAGATAACCGAAGAGGACCTTCAGCGTATGATCGCCGAAACTTCAACAATATCAACTTCTACTTGCTCCTCTAACGGTTCAGATAACCGATAAGCACCTTCAGCATACGACCGCGAAAACTTCAACTCGTGTTGTCACTGAAGCAACGACACAACCGTGTGCATTCACCTCAGACCATAGGTCTCGAGCGCCTCATCCTACAGTGGGTGGTTAACCCATCCCAAGGTTGGGCATCGCCCTCACCTTTCAACCCCAAGTGGGTTCACATCACATCGCAAGAGACGAGTATAATCTTCCTACTCGAAAAACAGAACATCCCAAGGGGTGAACATCAACCACCAAAATTAAAAAAAAAAAGGGTAAAATCGCGCATGCGAGAACCTAGAAGAAGATGAAGAAAAAAGAAAAAAAAAAAAAGAAGATGAAAAAACAGAAGAAGAAAGAAAAAGAAAAAAGAAAAAAAAAGAAGATGAAAAAAGAAAAGAAGAAAGAAGAAGAAAAAAGAAGATTAAAAAATACATGAACAAAAAGAAGAAAAAAGAGAGTACAAGAAGAAGAAAGAAAAAGAAAGAAGAAGAAGAAAAAATAGAGTAAAAAAAAAAAAAAGGGAGGAGATGCAGCCGAGTCGAGCCAAGCCGCGCGCGTGCGGCTCCAAAAAAAAAAGAAAAAAGAAAAAAAAGAAAACGGCCAAGAGGCGCGCGCGCGTCAGCAGGAGAGAGGAAAAAAAAAACTGGAGCGCGCGCTTTCCCAAGGCGCCCTTGGACTCCGCGCTCCCATTAAATCGCGCGGAACTTTCACCGCCCTTCACCAAATTGCGCGTAGATTTTGATTCGCTTCACCAAATCGCACGAGAATTTCAACGAACTCCACCAAATTGCACGAGCTCTTTAACGCACCTACCAAATAGCGTTCGCTATCAAATGGAAAATAAAAAAAAAAAAAAAATTATTTCTCCACGCCATGCCAACTATTAACGCAAGACTACAGCACCGATCTACTCTCAATACGATCCGGTACCCCTTTCGACTTGGCTCCCACATCGTCTTGAGAGTGAGGGGGCTTGCGAGACAACTCCCACGAGGAGACAACTCGCTCAGTACTACCACCCGCAGCGAGACACTCCAACGAGGAGCCAACTCGCTGAGTACTACAACCCGCAGCGAGACAACTCTCACGAGGAAACAACTCGCTCGGTCCTACAAACCGCAGCGAGACAGCTCCCACGAGGAGACAACTCGCTCTGTCCTACTACACGCAGCGAGACAACTACCACGAGGAGACAACTCGCTCGGTCCTACAACCCACAGCGAGATTACTCCCACGAGGAGCCAACTCGCTCGGTAATACCAACCCGCAGCGAGACAACTCCCATGAGGAGCAAACTCGCTCGGTACTACAAACCGTAGCGAGACAACTCCCCCGAGGAGCCAACTCGCTCGGTACTACAACCGGCAGCAAGACAACTCCCATGAGGAGATAACTCGTTCAGTCATATAACCCGTTGCGAGGCAACTCCCACGAGGAGTCAACTCCCTCGGGTCTACGAACCCACAGCGAGATAACTCCTACGAGGAGACCACTCGCTCCATCCTACGACCCGCAGCGAAGCAACTCCCACGAGGAGCCAACTCGCTCGGTACTACGAACCTGCAGGGAGACAACTCCCACGAGGAGCCAACTCGCTCGGTACCACAACCCGCAGCGAGACAACTCCCACGAGGAGCTAACTCGCTCTATACTACAAATCCGTTGCAAGGCAACTTCCAGGTGCGCATTCACGCCCCTCCGACACACGCTCCAACGCGTTATCGCACACCATCGGCTACTACAATTTTTACTCTCGACACGATATGTCACCCATTTCAACATGGCCCCCACATCGACTCGAGAGTGGGGGGCTTAATGATATGCCTAATTGGCCCAACCCAATGGGCCTACAAATTATTTACTTACTGGGCCATGAGCCCAATATCGAAGACCACTATCACCGAGGCCCAATCACCTTCAAGCAAGGTTTGGGCCCGACAATCTCAACTAAGCTATAAATACACATTTGAACTCATTCCATAAGGTACGTCCTATTAATTGAGCAATACTATCAACTGTTTTCTCTGGACTATTTCTATGATCAGCACGTCTGACTTGAGCGTCGGAGGGGTTTCCGCCGGATCAACCCCCGACTTAGTTCATGTGTTCTATGATCGCAGTTACCTCAGGAGCATCAAGTTATCAAGCTACTGATCCGCTTTGCTCTCCCATTTCATTTTCTATACTACCTCAGGTGATCTAAACTTTAGCATCATCATTTTGGCGCTGTCTGTGGGAACAATGCAAACCAGATCACGTAGCCAACAATCATATATATATATCGTGTAAACAAGGCGCCCCGACAAATTTTGTGATCTCGAGGTCGAGTTTATAGCGAGCTGAAGCTCAACTTTTATTTATTAATATGATTGTTCTTTTCATAAATAAATGATTTATATTAGAATAAAATAAAATTACAAAAGAAAATCAGCTGAATTTTTGTATGACTTTATTATTATTATTATTATTATTATTATTATTATTATTATTATTATTATTATTATTATTATTACTATTATTGTTGTTGTTATTTTTTTTTATTTTTTTT